AAGCTAATTGCTACTTTTCTCATGGATAGAAAATTTAAAGTCTTGATAGAAGGCGAATTTTCTATGCCAAGAAAAATAGCAGCAGGTGTTGCTCAAGTTTCTGTCCTTGCCCCAGTACTGTACAGTCCTTACATAAATGAAGCTTCTGTGGTACCTGGAACTCATCTTTCTCTCTTTGCGGATGATACCTGTATTTATGAGACAGAGAAACACAAGTGTTGAGTTCTCTGCAAACTGCAACATGGGCTCACTGTAGAGAATTTGTGGTGTGAGCACTGGAATATAAAGATCAATGAAGGGAAACCTCAGGCGATCCATTTCTCCAGAAGACTTAGCATCCTTGATGATATACTACAACTAAGCAGATGAGGCATTCCCTTTATAAGTAATATCTCATATCTTGGTGTCACCTTCAACAGGAGGATGACTTGGAGACACCATAACTAAAGGACTCTAGGTAAGGTCTTGCACACATACATGAAGACCTATTCTCTATTCAGAAGTGGGCGTTTAAGTACAAATATTAAACTTACGCTTTACCAAGCTCTGATTAGGTCAGTTAGACTGTGTCTGTGGTCTAGTGGTTAGAGTTCCTGGCTACAGATCCAGAGGTCCCGGGTTCGATTACCGGCGCTACCAGATTTTCTGAGAAATAGTGGGTCTGGAAAGGGGCCCACTCAGCCTTGTGAGAATAAATGAGGAGGTATTTCAAGGAAGTAGCGACTCCGGTCTAGAAAATCGAAATTAACGGCTGTGGAGATCCATTGTGCTGACCATGCGACAACCTCTATCTGCAAAATGTTGGCACTGACTTTGCCGACAAGCTGCAGTCACTCAGTTGGTATAGTTCGCTTGTGAACTACAGGTCACAGAGTTTATTTGTTGGTTTTGTTTCATTAGGTCAATTATGACTCATGCCTGTCGAACCTGGGCGTGTGTGGTGGACACTCACCTCTAGAAATTGCAGTGCCTGCAGAACAGTGCTCTGCACTATTGGAAATCTTGACAGGTGCACACCAGTCCATGAATTGCATGTGGCTTCAAAATTCCTCATGTGTATGACTACATAACTAAATAATGCAGGACACAGGCTTGTAAATCCAGTCACTTGGTATAGTGCAGTGACAAAGGATGCACAGAGTCCACAGTGATCTAGGCACTATGACAGCATGCATGTATTTGTGCTGAAACTACAGTGCAACAAATGTACCTGCTACATAGCAGGACTGACCCTTCCTTCATTTAAGAGGAGGCCTCATTTTGAAACACATACATGTCTAGAAGAGAATAAAAATCTTGGTAATGGATCTTGAGGAGACTGAAGCCAGGAATGACTGTGCTGGTGAAGCTAGCAGCCTGTTTAACCAACTGACCAAAGCCTGTTAGTCGAGTATTCTTGAGGTGGCAGTGGGGAGACAGTCCTATTGGACGTCGTCATGGAAAGTCGGCGGCTGGCATAGGAGACCCCATTGTTGTAAGCTGTTGCATAGCAATGCTGAATCTTGTTATGAGATAGATGCCAGCCTGTGAGGATGTGAACCCAGGAGCAGAGGAATGACCACCGTTGGATGACATTAATCAGCAGCACAGAGAACTCTAGGCTGTGTCTGATAGTGATTTGTGAAGTGCAGGCAGAGAGTCAGCAGTCTTGAGACAGCGGTTAGGACTTGTGGACTGTGAGCCATAAGGGTGTGAGGAGCAGCCCTGGTTAGAAGACTGTGGCCAGGCAGTGACTAGTGGAGGCTTTAACAAGCTGAGAAGACTAGTGTGGGTTATAGTGATTTGTGCAGCATTGTAGTCGCTTGTAATTCCAAGTTGTAAGTGTGCAGTAAATCCAATTACTGATCCAAACCTTGTCCGTAGTTAACATGTGACAGTATGATATGGTAACTAGCATGTCTGTTTTAAAATCAGAATGGTATAAGAAGTTTATACTTTTTCTGCCACTGAACTTCCTCAGCCATTAGTTAGTTTTTGTTAACTGTATGATGATATGATCTTCCACTGATGCTTAGAAGCTGATTTTCTATTGCATAATTCATATACATGTTACAAGATGTAACTTTTTTGCAGTCTCTTTCACCACATCCTGCTTCTGCCTTTGGGTGGTGATGTAGTTTTTTTTTTTGGATATGTGGGATATTTAATGATAATTTTCAGCTGCACAGTTTTATGTGGAATCAAGTGATAGGACAGGTGTAAATTATAAACTGGAAATCATGTGGAAGTATGAGGGTCGTACTGAAAGTCATGAGCAACAATTTTTTGTAAAGTAACATGCTTTATAATTGACAAACCAAATACACCACCTCAATCTATAGACCTTTCTTTATTTTTCCACATAATCCCCACTTCTTCGTACACATTTCTCCCAGCGTTCTGGGAGTTTGGAAATTCCCCTTCTGTAAAATTCCATTCCAGCCATTCAAAGACACTGACGCACTGCTTTCTGAATTGCCTCCCTTGTCTCAAAATGTCCACGCAGCTGATCCTTCACAAATCTGAAAAGATGGTAGTCGGAGGGTGCCAGATCAGGGCTATAGGAGGGGTGTGGAAGAACTTTCCACCCCATCTTTGCAATTGCTTCCAATGTGAGGAGAGCGGCGTGGGGACGAGCGTTGTCATGCAGGATGATGATGTTTCGTCCCGGACGTTTATCGCGCAATGCACGACGGAGCTTGTGCAGCATCTGGACATAACGAGCAGCATTGATGGTTTGCCCAGGTTCCAGGAATTCAGCCAGAATAAACCCCTCTGCATCCCAGAAGACTGTGCCCATCACCTTCACAGCTAATGGCACTGTCTTTACCTTCTTTTTTGATGGAGAATGCAAATGGTGCCATTCCATACTCTGCCATTTTGTTTCAGGCTCGAAATGGTGAAACCAGCTTTTGTCACCCGTCACAATACAGAGCAAAAAATAATCGCCTTTGTGTCGATATCTCTGCAGCAGTTATGAGGAGATGGCTTTTCGCTGACCTTTGTGGTCTTCGGTCAATAACTGCGGGACCCAACGAACACACACTTTCCTATAGCCCAAGCTTTCAATCATCTCCTGTACTGCACTGTGCCCTATTCCAAGTTTTTGGGCTATTATGTTCACAGTCACGCCTGTCATCTTGAACGATCTCATCCACTCTTTCCTTGTTGCGTTCAGTTGAGGCTGTTCGAGGATGACCGCTCCGAGGCTCATCTTCGATACTGGTGTTTCCACCTTTAAAATGTTTTCCCCATCTTCGAACACTGCTCGCACCCATGCACACACTTCCATAAGCGTGCTGAAGTCTCTGGTGAATTTGTGCAGCAGGGATTTCCTCTTTCACAAGAAATTCGATGACAGCACGCTGGCGAAACGACATGTCATTGTTGGCCATTTTGTTAGGAGTGATACTGGTCACGTGATGCAAGCTATTGATGTCACAGGACACTCAAGGTTAACACAAGAGCTGGTTCCACCTACCACCATACTCTCTTTTGTCTGCTGTTCCTAGGTTGCATGCAAAAAAAAGTTGCTCGTGACTTTTGGTACGACCTACGTAGCCATGATCTTATTAGGTTCTGTCCCACCACTTACCTTGGGGAATGGGGAAAATGACAAAAATCTTGTCAGGATAGTTGTTCTGTGATTCAAACCCAGAATGTGTAAGATGTTAAGCAAACATGCTAATTACTGATATTTTGACATTTGGCTTGTCCGTAGTGTTGTTAAGAAATGTCTCAAGGCTTCACCATGTGAAGTCTGTTTTTCTGTCTGTCCACATGTAACAACCTGAGAACCACTGAAGCTTTTCATGAAATTTGATAATGGAAGGGGGGGGGGAATGTTTATGGAGCCAATTTTGGTTAAAATTAGACAAAATAATGGACACTATGTGAATATGTACATGTATTGCTCCACAGGTCTGGAGGGTAATTTAATGCGTTTTGCCAAATATTGTAATAAAAAATGTTTTGAACAAACTCTTAGGGAAAATGGAACAGAATTTTATATGCAGTGCACTTCTTTCTATAAGATATACAGTTTTCAAGATAGGTGAACGAAATGGAGCAATTCTTTTTGTATGGCCTATAATGCTGCGTTGGCCGGAAGAAAGATGATAATGCAGAATATGTGATTTTCAGCAATCTCTGTTTGTCTTTAATATAGAGCTTTCTCTTGTGGTTTTCATTTTTCTTATTAAACAGTCTGCAGTTCTGTGCATGCCATGTAGGACTGGTCTTTATGGTAATAGGGTTAATTGTCCAAGCTTTCTGATTGTTTTTTGCTTTAAATATTGTGGGCACATTCCTCTGTCCTGTGTTTATGGAACATCCTGGCAGTTCTGGTGTAGTATATGGGCCTTTGTCATCTCTTAAAATTGGGGAATGGCCTAATGCAGTTTGGAGGCCTCAGTTATTTGCCTTGTAAATGTTTTTAAGGCCTTATGGAACAGTGTGGTAGTTCCTGTGTAATGTGTAGGCCAGGTCGTAACAGTAATTTGATACTTTCTCTGCACAAATTACTTGAGATGAAATGCATCATTTCTCCATTTCTTTATCGTTGTCATTGTCATCGTCTCTGGTAAGTAAAAGGAACTTATATTTAAGAAATTCTGAGATATTGTGTGCAAAATATATTCATTTTAGGATCTGCCCTTTGGCTCCTGGAATATGATTGATCTCTAACCACCAGAATTTAACTGGGACTGGTGGAATGAACAATTTTTGATTCAGTGTAACTGTGTTATAAGTTGAGTAACCAAATACAGATGCAGAAAGAAAATTAAAGAATGTATTACTTTTGTTTTTGTTCCCTGATATTAGTTTCTACTGTGAGGTTTTTAAACATCTAACATAAAAAATATGTGTATGACACGTACTGCAAGGAAACGTGGAAGTGAATGTTATTAAGTAATGCTAGTAGATTTCTCATTGAACCATGATCTCTCCTGGACTCCATTTTTGTAGATGGAAGCCAGTATTTGACTCTCTGTTTGTTACCAATGTGATGTTTCCTACAGGAGGTGAATGATCCAGCTAAGAATGATACCTTAGAGGCAGTGGAACCCCAGTCCTTGGAGGGTTTGTGGGAATTGGGGGCATTTGGTCTACAGGTCTCACAGGATCTGGGTGGCCTAGGACTCAACAACACCCAGTATGCACGCCTGGTGGAAATTGTGGGTGCCCATGATTTGGGTGTTGGAATAACACTTGGTGCACACCAGTCCATTGGCTTCAAGGTAATGTAGTTGTGTTGATTTTCTGTCCAGTTATGCCTTGTTAGCGCTCTGAAGGAACAGATGTTTCATAGTAAAGCACGTTGCAAGGATGTCTTCTACATATTATCTTAAAGGAAAATAGGCATAAACACCACAGCATAGGAGTCCTCCAAACCTTGATACCTTATAATTATCTTTCATAAACAATACCATCATGTTGTCAGAATGAACTTGTGAAGTGAGAAGAGCACTAGTGCCATTTATATGTGGTCTTGAAATTTTGTAAACTATCAAGCCTCTCGCACTTCTTTCTTTCACCTCATTTTTCTTTCTTGTTTCTAAAGTGAGAACATGACAACTGCTTTAATATTGGCGCCATGACAGTGGCTAATTAATCGTCAGAACCAGACAAGTCAAATCTATTAGCAGAAGTGTTATTAATATTGTCATGTGTTAGTGACTAGACACGGGGTTTGGTTTGATAATTGGATTTATGGAATACTTACAACTCATAACTACAAATAACTGTAACAGTCTCACTGATTTATGAACCCTGTAGATCACTGCTGCGAACATTAAGTCTTCTGTGTCTTCACTAATTGTTGCTTGATAGTGGCATCTAGCAATGCAGATTCCTGTAGTTCCATGCTCCCATCCTTGCTGGCTGGCAACTGACTCACAACTGACTAACTTCAGAGTCAAAGTTATGTTATGACCGATGATCAGGCAGCTAGTCTGTCATGGTATCAAGTCCCATCTTTGGCCCAAGACCAGATTTTTGTTACTGTCAGACAGTTACAAATTCACTGATGTGGGGCACCCACTCTGATGAGAGGACAGCTCTGTTGTGTGCCAGTGCATTCATTCTCATGTCTGAGTCATGCAGGACTCATGACCATATTCTGTTGTCTCAGATTTGAGACTCTCCCAACCTGGTGGAACAGGTCCCTCTGTTTATATCTGCCAGGAACAGGGTGGCTCAGTCATACACCCAGGCATTGGGTTCCCCTTTTGTAGCCTCCTACGACTCGTAGGGCTATGGTGGAGGTATTTAAACCCGTGTCAGTGTGGGGTTTGTGATGACAGAGTCACTTTATGGCTGGCGGTTTACCGCTATTCAGTTTGCCTTGGTGCTAAACCCTTTGAGGCTCATAACTTGAGTTTTTTATCAACTGAACCCTTGCTGTCACAGTCCTAATGTAACGAGAGGATGGGTTTGTTTCTTACGAATATGCTTAGCCTTTGTCAAGTGTATGTATTGCACATATAACATGTTATTGAAAATTCTTGCATTTGCACTATGTATAAGCCCTTTGTCAGTCCAGGCTTTGGAAAGCAGATCATGCCTATCTTACTTATCTTATGCTACAACATCAACTTAGTCACTTCAAAAGTTGTAAGCTTCACCACTGCCAAGTTTAAGCCTCTTATATTTTTTACATCTGGCTTTGCATTGTGCTGTACTGCAAACAGGATAATTCTTATGATTTTGTATGACTTCTGCTTGTTGCCTGCACAATTTTGCTATATAATTTTATACATACAGAAGGTTGAAAGCTGTGTGCAAATTGTGGACCGGTATGCACCTTGGAAAATTTCCAGTGGTACAGAGAACCTTGTTTTACAGGTGCTGCAAATTTAAGAGGTAGGTGTCTACTAAAAATTCCCAAGTGGGCCAAGAATAAGTCTTTAATGCTCACTTTTGAATAGGGAGTAGATTTTGATGAATGTTTTGAAGCCCTTGTCTTTAATCGTTTCTATGTGCAGTCTCCATATAATCCTCTTATCGAAGATTACACAGAGATATTTTACATGATTAATGAAAGGGATATTATGTCCATTCAGTGTAAGATGAGGCTCGGGGGACCTAAGTCTGTGAGGAAAATAGATGGCCCAAGTCTTATCTTCATTGATTTTTGTTTTTCATTGCTCACACCAAGTCTCAGTAGCACTGAGACCTTGCTGCAACTTTCTGAGAACCTATCCTTTGCAGTCTGTTGCATATATACAGGCGTCATTAGCAGAGAGCCCTAGAAAGACACTATGTGTTTGGGGTATATCATTTATATATATATGTACTGTAGAGTGTGGGGGACAAGATGGAAACTTGTGGCACCCCAGCTTGCATGTTCCTTGGCACAGACATTTCACCTTCGACCGAGACTCTGAATTTTCTCTGCAAAAGGGAAGAGCGAATAAGGTTGATAAGACCTATAAAAATTTGTAATATAGATAATTTATATAGCAAGCCAAGGTCCATTCTTGAGTAGCTGCAGAATTGGCGGCTCCTCCAGAAGGGCTCAGCTCCATGAGTAAGTAAGTAAGTAAGTAAGCAAGCAAGCCAAGGTGTGATGTTCCAGGTATTGAATCTCATGTCCATTTTCTTTAGCTTAGGTCATTTATCCAGAGGATCCATCCATGTCTCAGGCTTTGTGTTCATTTTCATGATCATTTTTTACAGTGAGTTGTTAGCCCCGCGTATAATTAGAATGATCAAGTCAAGGAGGATAAGGTGGGCAGGGCATGTAACACAAATGGGGGAGACGACTGCATATAGGATATTGGTGGGAAAGCCAGAAGGAAAGAGACCACTGGGGAGACCAAGGCATAGGTGGGTGGACAATATTAAAATGGATCTTAGAGAGACAGGATGGGATGGTATGGATTGGATTGATCTGGCTGAGGATAGGGACCAGTGGAGGGCTCATGTGAATGGCAATGAACCTTCGGGTTCCTTAAAATGTTGGGAAATTCTTGAGTAGCTGCAGAATTAGCAGCTCCTCAAGAATGACTCAGCTTCATGAGTAAATAAGTAAGTAGGTAAACAGGCAAGCCAAGGTGCCGTCTTGTATCACAGGTCTTTTCAATATTCAAGAACACTGCGGCCCTAGACATGTTATTGTTGAAATTTAAAGTGACATGGCCTGTAAGTCTTGTACATCGGAGTGTCTTGCTGTGATGGGGATGGATACCAAACTGGCTTGCATTAAGAAGGCCTCTTTCTTCAGTGTTTTTTTTAACTATTTTCAGAATAATAATTGAATGTAAATTTGGAGGGAATTTTGTGACTTACCAGATAGCCTTGATGAGGACCACACAGAGAACACTGTTTCCAAGAATTCCTCCATTGTTGAGTAACATGTTAAGCAGGCTGTTGCCTAGCGATGGCCTGGGTATTGTTGATGCAGGCACTTGTTTTCTTTACCATGCAAACGTGTTTACTGCTTCTTGTCTAACAATGGATGATTTTTTGGTGCCTGCTGTTCCAGTTTTCAGCTGCCATGTTGTAATATCTATGCATTTTAAACCCACAGAACCCTGAAATGCACCATTTCAACTTGCTTTTATCATGCCGAATTTCATGGTATTAACCAATAATCTGTTGTTCTGCATATCATTAACCTTCAAAACATGGACTGTTCTATGGCCAAAGCAGGTCTGGTGGCTGGAATTCTTTTCCTATATGGGACATGTACTATGAATCCTGCAACATTCAGCCTGCTGTTCACACTCAGTACTGAAAAAAAATGTGCGTCTCAGGTTCTCATGGTGGCGGTTGTGAAGAGTTCTATCATTTGGGATATAATGACATGCAGTCCATTGAAAGCCATCCAGTGGTAAACAGATGTTTTTCATTTCATGTCAGTTTGCGTTCCATTGTAATATTATATTTAGCATATGATCATAAAATTACAGTAATTACCAGTGTAATAAATTTTTTCAATGACTCAATATGTTTCACTCTTCTAGGCTCATCATCAGGGGTATATCTTCAGTGCAATAGATTTCAGGCTAATAGATTTAAGCCATGCTTGTGGAGTCTGCCTACAACTCTCTGTAACCTCTAGAAGTGGCAATAATGCTACTGGATGTGTATATACTTCATAAAAGCTCAGTCATTTCTCAGAATCTTGCGGTTACCAACAAGAGGTTTTGATTTCAGGGCATCTTGCTCTTTGGGACTCCAGAACAAAAAGCGAAATACTTGCCTCGAGTGACAACAGGAAAAGAATTTGCTGCATTCTGTCTCACAGAACCTTCATCAGGCAGTGATGCTGGCTCCATCAGGTGAGAGTGCAGTGGTGAACTGTGCAGACTAGATAAGTGAGTCACTAAATAAATATGTAAATGTCATAAAAAGTTGTTAAAGAGTGTACAGTTTTCCCTTGATAATTTTTTTTTTCAGAGGACTAGCGAAAAAACTTTTTGTAAGAGAAATGTAAAATTGGGTTCATGTTTCGGATCCACTTTTGTATTTTGATTCCAAAGAATTGTTTCATACTATTTCGTTTGTAAAAGACATACACATATTATATGAGAGCAACTTGGAAATGTAGTGGCAACACCAGAGCTATTTCTAACTTTAGTGCTGAAGAAAAATTAACAAACCACAAGTCATAATGGACCACCTAAAAGTTATATAAAAATAATATAAACATATGAACATGCTACATTTGGATTTGCTACATTTGGATTTGCCTCCACACACTATGTAATATAATCACGATTTTATGGAGTGACTGTAGACAGAGTTTGGATTGGTAGTTGGATTTACTCAACATTTAACAGATCATAATTACAAGTAACCAAAGTATAATCTACTTTTCTTTCATTAAAAATGAACGAAAAAGAGGCTTATGATATTACCATTCAGTCTGCCTCAACTTTTGAATCAGTGAATTGATTGTCACAAGATTTGGTAAGGCCATTATGCTGTTTGAGGTCACTCCAATATCCTGCTTTCCATTTTCTTAAAATAGTAATGATATTTTGGATGCAGTAACTTGTGAGGTGGCACAGGAGTCCATTAACAAAATTGAATTTCACTGTTGTATTATGCATTTCCATTTTTAGATATTCCATTAACAACACAAGATTTGTAGACTAGAAGTCAGTGCATTAGGAAAGTATGCTTTATGAGTTTACCCAGAACTCCATGCTGTAATTGCTGATGTATGGTGTTTACCTTTGACATAAAGGAGAAAACATTGAAAGTGGTTGAAACTAGGTCTTTTGATATATGGTACAGTTATTGTTGACTGACTATCTCATTCACTTATTTGCAGATTTATTTAATGATTCATTCCATCATTGATGAACTGATGCAGTGGTACATGTTCTTCATTAGGTAGCTGATGGCTGCTTAGATGGTCAAGAGATTCCCAGTTGACATGAAACTTGGAGACTCATCATGGTGTTAAAGAAAACCTACCATTAGACCCTATTCTGAAGCTGTTCAGTCTTGTTCACAGCTTTGAAAACCTGTTGCTATAAAACGAAATTTGATATTGTCCTTAGCTCTCTCTCTCTCTCTTTTTTTTTAAGATATCCTGTCCATCTTGTGCTTTATGATTTATACAACAGGTTCCTTCTTGCTGTCTTTTATGTGACTGCTCTGTTACAGGTCAAGAGCAGTGCTTTCTGCAGATGGCAAGCATTACATCCTGAATGGGAGTAAAATTTGGATTAGCAATGGAGGACTAGCAGAGATTATGACTGTGTTTGCCCAAACACCTGTCTTGGATGAGAAAACTGGTATGATAAATTGAGAGTGGCTTGTAGGTAGATTTTTTTTTATTTTATCATGTACATGGTTTAGGCCTCTTAGCCTTTTCTGGCATCAGGTTCAATTAATTCAAATTGATCCTTCAATTTTTAGGCTGTATGGCCTGGAATTCTTCCTGTGGGGCAGTAATATATTTACAGTGGATTCACCCTTCATCCATTCTGCTAATATGTTGCATCCACTTTGTCTGGTGTTTTTTACTTAATATTGAATATTCCAAAATCTTCAGTCTTTATAGTTTTTTTGCTTCTATCCAGCTGTTAAAACCTTGTTTCTGTGGACTCTGTTCTTGTCTCCTGTTTGTTCAGAGTCCAGCACCCTGCTTCATGCAGGAGAATAGCTACAGCCACAGTCTTATAAAATGTCAAAGGGTGTCCTTGTTTCTACTTTATTTATCTGTGCAGTCTTTAATGTGTCCCATAAATATTGGAATCAGTATAGCTTATCTCTTATGTTGAGGGGACAACTTCACATTTTTTTACCTGTATCTCTTATTATGTCATTTTTGATCATATTTAAGTTAAATTGTATATTGCATTGCAGTATTGTGATTGTGAAAAAAATTGATTTAGAAAGTTTGACAGATTAGCTCCTTGTCAGTTACCCTGAATACAAAAAGTAGTTTTGGAAATGTACCTTGTCTGTGTCCACAGTTGGGCAAATTTTGATTGTATTCAGTATTTAAGTATTTGTCCATTATAGGTCAGTGACTGGTAAAATATATGTATCAGGTAGTGTGTTTTCTGCTAGGTTCCATATCCAGTTTTCCTGAATTTTAGCATATATTTTATAAAAGTTACTTAATAAGTTGATTGCTCTGTAATTGTTTCAGTCATCATTATTGACTTTTTTTTTGTATATTGGTAGGACTACAACTGTTCCCCAATCTTCTTGGATATGATCTATTTTTGACCATATTGTTGGTCTGGTGTAATCTTGAGCTAACTTATTTCCCAGTGTAATGTTGATGTCTGCTGCTAGGACAATATAATCATTTTTGTTTATCTTGTCTCTTATGGAATGTAGTTTCTTATAAAATTCATGAGTAGATTTTTCTGTTTTCCCTCCTCTGGGAGCCATCTAATCTAGACCAGTCATTACATGAGGAGCTTTGTTTCGTTCTCATTAACAGTGCAAGGGGGTTGAATACTTCCACCATGACCCTGTGAGTTGTAGGAGGCAACGAAAAGGGAAGTCTAAAATCTGAGACACTAAGATATGGTCACCAGTCCCAAGGGACTCGGACTAGAGAAAGACCGCGCTGGCAAGGGCCAGCAGCATGTGCAGAAGACAGTCCCGTCCTCTCATCGGCGAGGGCGTCCCAAAAAATAAGACCATAATTGTCAAACGGTAATAATTAATATCTGGTAATGAGCCCCATATGGGGCATGACACCAAGACTTACTGACCGACCATCAGTTGCAGTGTGACTGACTTTGACTTGACTTGACTAAGAGGGCAATAGCTGTGTATTCTCTCTCTCCATTTTTATCCTATTTTCCTTTCTGAGGGACAGAACGTACATTTATGAGGTCACCATGATGTCTCTATGTCCCACACTTTCACCTTTTGAATCATAGGACAAATTTTCACAAAACTTGGTATGAATGTTACACTGTTAGAGTCCGCCCCAACTCTGTACTTCTTGTTTCCTACAATCGCTAATAACATCATGGTGGATGCACAAACTTGTGAGGTGGGATCAACCTTATGCCATTTAATATAGGGTTGTGATGTGTTGTATGGTAATAGGTATTAGAAAAATATGCAGCCTCTATAAGGTAATATTTCTGTAGAATGTGAAATAATATTTACCCATTTAATGTTCCTTGATTTAAGATTGTTCCCTTTTTTTAGTGTTATTTTCAGTGACCCAGAGTTAATAATCCCTGTTCTAAATTAACTCTGTTTAAGATGTGCCTCAATTTAGTGCTCAAAGCCATTGCTCCCCAAAATATTTCAAATAGAGTGTGGGACCATCGCACATACTAACATTCACCTGTCTAACAGACAGCACTCACTCCTAGTCAATATCACATTGCTGCACGTTGCTGCCACCACTTTTATTTATACGGCACTCGATGTCATCACCTGCACCATAGGCAGCTGTTCCTACCGGCACATAGAGCACAAAATCACTGGCCGGACAAACCAGCTGAACGGCCACAAAGACTTGGTCTACTACAAAGGAGCAAAGTCTGCCAGGGCACTCACTATGGAACAAACTGCCTTTTTCAGGGCCAGCCAACTTTTGAACATCGACATTCCACACAGCTTCGTAGCTATTCTGTACATTCAATTTATACAATTGTTACAGTTTTACGTGGTTGTCTTTTAGAACATCGACAATCCTACAAGGGATTTCACTGTATTTTCATGTCATATTCATGCACATCCATGAGAGATTTATAACTATTGGTGAACTGTGTTTTATGCAGGCAAGGAGCATGACAAGGTGACTGCATTCATTGTTGAACGCTCATTTGGCGGTGTGACCTCTGGCCCACCTGAAAAGAAGATGGGGATCAAGGCTTCCAATACAGCTGAGGTTTACTATGAAGATGTCAAGATCCCCGTTGAAAACGTACTTGGAGGTGTTGGACAGGGCTTCAAAGTTTGTATCCATTCATATATTATAAATTTTATGTTTCTGGAAATAATTTAATTTACAATATTTAATTGGATTAAATTTTAAATTGAAGTAAATGATAATTTATCCAGAACTGTGAAATGAAAATTGAAATATATTTATATCATAAAGAAAAACACAAATTGTAATTCATGCTTGTAAGGAATACAATTTATTGTGTTTTTGGACATTATGCATCATCCTGTTTTTTTATTTAAAAAACACAGCATTTCAGAGACTGGTCTGTCTTCAGGTGAAACCCACTCAGTTGGACCCAATCAGTAGAGCTAGTCCCTCTCAGTGGACACCAGCACAGTGTCCAGCTTCTGTTAGGGCTGTGTTCATTAAAAATACAAAATGTGAATTATTTTCAAAATTTCACTCTTTTTATTCAAAATAGTCTCCTTCTGAATCAACACATAGCTGGAATCAATTGCAAAATTTTTGAAAACAGACACTGTACTTCTTTTGTGGAATTGCATTTAAAACTGCAGTAAATTCCCTTTAGATGTCCTGGATGGTGTCGTGACGGTCTCCTTTCATCGCAAGCTTAACTTTTGGGAACAACCAGAAATCTGCTGGAGCCAAATCTGGCGAATACTGAGGATGACCCCTTTCCTGGCCAAAAAATCACGCACGATCTTCGATTTGTGGGGTGGGGCATTGTCGTGGAGGAGCGACCAGGAACCTTGCTCTTGATATTCAGATCGAATTCAAAGAATTCTCACCCACAAACGATTGAGGACTCCGAGATAATAATCAGAATTCACTGTTTGACCTTCTGGCAGAAATTCCTTGTGAATGATTCATTTGGAATTGAAGAAAACAATTAGCAGTGCTTTTACTTGACTCTTTTCCATGCGCACTTACTTTGGTTTCGGCTTCTTTGGGCTCAACCACGCTGCACTCTGCCACTTTATGAGAGGCTCATATTGAACACACCATGTCTCATCACCAGTAACAATTGATTTTTTAAATTTTGTATCGCTTTGGGCCGACCATAACATGTCTTTGCAGTGTTCCACTCTGGAATGTTTTTCATCAATTGACAGCATGTGCGGTACAAACCGCGCACAGACCTTCCGTTTGCCCAAATCCTCGGTCAACATTTGATGCACAGTACTTTTTGGTATTCCCAAAAATCAATGTAATGTTTAAGTTTTATTTTTTGATCATTTACAAAATGTATGTAAAACTTTGTGAGACTGAGTGAAGAGACTAGTAGATTTTTAGTTGTGTGTCTGGCCCTGAGTTGTTTGTTTGGCTGCAGGTTGCAATGAACATACTTAACAATGGTCGTTTTGGAATGGCAGCATGTCTTGCTGGAACCATGCGTGCTGTAACACGAAAGGCTGTGGATCACGCTACCACTCGCCTACAGTTTGGACGCCGCATTGACTCATTTGGAACCATCCAAGAAAAGCTGGCACGAATGTCAACATTGCAGTATGTTACGGAATCAATGGCTTATATGATCAGTGGAAACATGGACAGTGGATCTACAGATTTTCATCTTGAGGCTGCCATTTCGAAGGTACTCGTGTTATGATGTTTTTCTGGCAGGTTTGGGCATTGTCACTTCTTAATCCATTCTCTGTTTGCGTAACCTTTAACGGACGAATGTTATATATATCTACAGCAAGCAGCACCACGCTATGGCCAAATGTTATATTTATATGAGGCAGGACACTGATCCCTTTGGGAGTGCTGACAGTATGATCTTGGGTTTGAAACAAAAACAAACCCATGCAAGGTCATGTCAGTGGTTCATTCATAACTCTGAACAATGAAATCGTTTATCATGGTACTGGTTTCTTTACCTTTAGATATGACTGTTTATGACCTGGTCAACCAAATGGAGCCCAGCTTTGTTTTGAGAACTGAGGAGTAAATATTCATCTCTGCTCCCAGATCAGTGCTTCCAGAGCTTTCAAAGAAGTGTGACATATTCAAGGATTGCTTTTCAGTAGCGAATTATCAGATAAGAAGTCAGTGTTGGATTGTCATATATTTCTTTATCAGTTAAAAAGTCAGTGTCAGACTCATATATTTGTTTATATATCATTTTTATTTTGTGTCTTGGAAGAGGTATAAACCTACTGAGCCAGTATTACTTTGTGAGTAAAAGGCATTTTCTCCACTGACTTTCGGTATCAGTGTCGGACTGGCACTCTTTTCGACTAGTATTGTAATTACTTTGCATCACTATTTTGCAAGTATTACTAACAGGTGAGTGTGTCACTTTGTCAATCAACATAATTTATTGATGTTTCTGGAAACCCCCCTCCACCAAGATGATTCTTCAATCATACAAGGCAAATATCACAATCAGTGGCATCTCTCAGGGAGGCCAAGGTTATATGGGGCCCAGCTGAGTTGACTATTCATAACACTGGCTAACCAAAAGGAAACAAAAGACGTATGTGTTTGCTAAATCAGAAAAGCAGGAACCTCATTTTCTATTGTAAAAAGTGCAATGTTGCGCTGTGTGTCGCGGACTGCTTCAAGAAGTGGCACATGCACGTCAGAGTGTGAGGTACTGTAAACTGTGAAGTGACGCAGTTCAAACTCGCATACAGCCTGAACAAAATATTATTGTATATAGTGTGATTATACAGAGGGGTCAAAGAAAATGTACTCACTCTTTGATTGTCAATATCTTTGGAACAAAATGACATGTAGTTACAATTCTTGCGCCAAGAGAGAGAGAGTCATTGTATGTGTTCGAAGTGACCACCATCAGCAGCTAAAGATCGTCGATGCCGCCAAACTGCTGAGCGAACTACAGCTCTCAGTGTGTCCTGTGTGATGGCTGCACACAACGCTTTGATGGTTTCTCGTAGCGCGTTCAGTGTAGCTGGCTTTTGTCGATAAACTTCATCCTTCAAAGTTCTCCATAGGTAGAAGTTGAGAGGTGTTAGGTCTGGAGACCATGGTGGGTACCCAATAGCACCTCTTTGACCTGTCCATCATCCAGGTAGAGTGTCGTCCAAGTACGCCCTGACATCTCGATGGTAGTGAGGTGGAGCAACATCTTGTTGTAGGTAAAATCTCTCACCTCCAAACAACTCTCGAATGGCAGGGAAAATCGATGTCTGAAGCATGTCGAGATACAACTGACCAGTTACGGTACCTTCATAGAAGAAAGGACCAATCAGACTGTGCAATGACAGACCACACCACACATTAACACCCGGTAGATTCACTTCCTTGCCCACATGATTGTGTGGATTTACAGGAGCTCAATACACACAATTGTGGTGGTTAACAGTACCATTCATTTTGAATTGCGCCTTGTCAGACCAGATAACTTTCCCTGCAAACTCCTCATCCTCGCAAACCATGCCGTCAAACCACTCGCACTATTCAAGCCTTCGATCCAAGTCATCCTCGTTCATAATGTGCAGCAGTCTTGGAATGTACACTTTCCACTCTGCAGCCTTCAGAATTCGCCATACACTTGGTCGGCTTACCCCACTTTCGCGTGCACACTGATTCACAGATTTTTGCAGTGATCGTGTAAAATGTTGCAACACCACAGCACTGGAAGCTGGACTTGTTACTATCCGTGGTCGCCCAGATCTTTGCTTATGCATATCATGAACAGTACTGTCGGCTTCAAATTTATCCCGAATACGGGCAATTGTTCAACGTGTTGGTGGCTGAGTTCCAAACTCATTCTGCCATTGTCGTTGTAACTCTTTAATGTTTTCATACTTCCACTGCCACTTCAGTACAGCCTTGTGTTGCTCAAAGAACAACCTTTCAGCCATTGTTGCTGCTGTCTTCTGCTCGCAGCGCACACACGGCATGACACTCACATGACCTTCGCCATCTGTTGAGAAAACATTACACTACACTACCATGCAGAATTGTAACTACATGTCATTTTGTTCCAAAGATATTGACTATCAAAGCGTGAGTAGATTTTTTGGACCCCCCTGTATTTACAATATCACCAAGTCTCAAGGTTGAAAAAAAGAACTACAGGTAAGTCCTCTGGAATTTCATAACATAATAAAGATTATATTTTGAATTTCATGACAAAATAATCACAGTTAATTTTCGTTTGTAAAAATTGCTCTTTTCTGTATATGTAGAAAATTTTATTGTCTCTCGGGTTGTTTTTATTTCGAATTTCTGTGTTGCATAGAACGGAAAATATATAGTTTCTTCTGAAAGTTTGCAGTGTTAAAGACTTAGGGCAATTTAAATTCTGGCTGCAGAGGGCTGCCGGCAATGACCATTTGTCATAAGAGAAAGGGCATGCCAGGGATTGATGAACTTGAAATTTAAGGAATGGTACGTAACATATAAGCTGAAAGGGGGTATCAATGCTGCTTGCTGGAATGAGAGAGAAGTGTGTCTTCTCATCAGCATTTACCATCCCTTAGCATCAGGTCATCATGTGAATGAAGAAACAAAGGCATCAAAACCTATGTACACTTAAAGATAAAAATAAGAACTTTGGTTTTGTGAATATGAATGACAATAGCTGACAGCTACAGTGTTTCCCAGAAAACATGGACATAGATGCAAGAAACTCTTCTTCTGTTAAATCACTCTCCTGTCCTGAGTCTCTTTCTAATTAATAGAATATAATGGGCGAAATTCATCTAGAAAGTGTTTTGGGAATGATTTATGTGAGGTATGTTTCATTCTGTAGAAGGCATCAGCCAAAGTTATTTGACATCAGGTCATGATTGACCATTAACACAAGTAGTTTGCATCTCTCTTATTGATTGAAAACCTTCAGATTGCTCAGTTTCCAAGGTTTGCTCTTGAAGATGCTGCCTATATGTGGGTAAAGAGAAAGTCTCAAGATTAGTTTACCACTGTGAAGACAGTTACGATGAACCATTTTTGGTTGAGTGTTATGTGTGGAGCAACTAGCTATTCCTTTTTCCATGGCGTGATGTATCATTTTCCTTCTTTCACTCCTGATACATCACACACCACCTAATGCTTTTTTCCTTATCATGAGTTCTTTTCACTTCTTCATCTCCTTCCTCTAATATCCCTTGTTTCTGGGTTGGTTGTTGGCCTGGAGTGATGCCTTTTTTCACCTAGATGTCAGGGCTGTCAAATCATTCTAAATTCTGTTTTGACTTGCTCCAAAATTCCCTTTCCTGCAGGCATGTGACCAGATTCTGTGAGGGGCTCATGCCTGTGTGTGTGTGTTTGTGGGTGTGGTTTATGGGTGAATAATTCTTTTTCACAGTTTCAGCAAGGTATGTTTTTGGTTGTTAATTGTGTATATTTTTCTGTTTTATTGTTTAAAGATTACATGCTGTGTGAACAGTTACAGTCCATTGTCTGTTTTTGACTTGATTTATTTGTATGTAAGCCAAAGTTACACTGCACCCTGTTGTGTTGGGGCAGTGTTTAAGTGGGCAGGTTTGTAAGTGCAGTACAATCTCGGTAATCCAGCTGTGTGCTAGTCCGACATGTGCAGTAATCTAGCATCAGGTGCCAGATAGGCGTCTGTGACCTTGTGCAGGTTTCTACAGGCAGCAGAGGCTGACTTATGTTCAGTCAAGCTTGACAAACTGATTTATGTAGACCCTCACTAGTACCCAGTGTTTCAGTTCCCCAGTACCGTACATTGCTGTACAGTACTTTTCATACAGCAGTGGACTAATGTGTGCTGAAGATGTCCAGTTCTGACAAACATAAACATAAAACTTCAAGTGCTAAATTGGAAATAATTAAGAAACTTGACAAAGGTGAAAAACTTGTTAATTTGTTCCGACTTTTTCCAGTAATGCATCATTTTTGGTAATTTGGCAGTACCTTGGTCCCATGTATGCTGGATTACCAAGATTGTACTGTAACTGCATTCTCTTGATGAGCATTTTGCACAGCATTCCATAACAGTGTGGAATTTCTTCACAGTCGAATGACTGTCACCTGGTTAGGAAAACCCTGTACTCTGAAGTTCATAAGTGACTGTAACTTCAGTTTTAAATGAAAGATGCTTGTGTTTGCAGGTGTTTGCTTCAGAGGCAGCGTGGACAGTGACAGATGAAGCCATTCAGATTCTTGGTGGCATGGGTTTTATGAAGGAATGTGGTCTTGAGAGGGTCATGCGTGATCTTAGGATCTTCAGAATTTTCGAGGGAACCAATGACATCTTGCGGCTCTTTGTAGCCCTTACAGGTTCTGTACATAGCAAACATCAGGATAACAAAATATCTTTAATACTGACTTTACTCAAATACATGTGAGGCATCTGGAAAACAAGGATTGTTTACTATTTGGATCCTTAGAAAGTACTGCACTGGAGTCAGTATTTTTGTATTGCCTATAGTACTCTGCAAGTATTGATTTTAGGGTGTGATATGCTGTTTTGTAGCTTTTTCTTTCTTTCATTTCAAAGTCAAGAATGTGTGCTTACTGATAGCTCCAATCCCTAAAACCAATGGGGCAGTGTGCAGTGCTGGCAGTGAGAAGCATCTGAATGTTGAAGCTTCAGTGTATAGTGTCACATCCAAATTTATTTGTGTGAGAGCAAGAAAGTGAAATGCTGATGTATAAATCATGGTAACTGATGAAAGGAGAGGTTGTGTAGTATCACAGATATTGAAAGGGGTGCATTGCAGCTATAGCATGAACTTGAAATTAATGGTTGTGAAGCTTATGGGTGAAATGAATGGTCATGCTGTAACATGAATATTTGGTAATACTCATGTAAATGTCTGATGCCAGGGGAAAATGAAAGAACAATCAAAGTATGCTGATTCCACATAAGAAACAAACAAGGGTGGCAGAAAAAAAAAGGTTAAGATTTTCTAATTCAGTGGATAAAGGGAGTATGGGACACATGACAAGGTGCTCTTCTACTGAAGAAGGAAATGTGTATCTTAGACGCTTTTCAGGTGTATGTAACGGACAGGGTAAAATCCAGTAATTCTCTAGTGATCACACCTGGAGGCATGACCTCTCATCTTCACCTTCTTGGTATGGTCATTAATAAGCCATTCAAGGATCATCTGTGTCACCTCTGTGGGAAATGGTTGCTGTCTGGTAGCTACCCACTAACTCTAGCAGAGAAAATAAAGAAACCCTCTTAAGGCATTCATTTGGAGTGGATGAATGGATGAAGACTCCATGAGAAAGCATCTTGCTTGTCATTTGTCCATTGGTTCCAGAAGTGCTGCTTATCAGACAGCCTCGGTGGAACACAAGTTGGCATCCTGCTGGAGGAAGAGGACTGTTCATTAAAAGAAAGTGGCGGTGACTGTTAGACTGGACTTATTTATGCAATATGACTCTTTATCTCTTTTCTTTTAATTGAGTTTCTTCCATGCTACTTACTTTAACTTTGTTCCTTTGTATGTTAGAACAATAGTATTTACACAAATACTGCAACATGCGTGCATTAAACTCTCAAAAGTAGACCCTTAGTTAAATGCCAAACTGGTCAGTTCTGATGTTGATATAAATGTTTTTTTTCCCCCTATTAGAGGAGTTTGTCTGATATTCAGGTTCATCTTATATTTGAGTAAATATGGTATTCTGTCTGGCTTCTTTCACAAATTCAGCTCACTCCATAATATAGGGTCATGCTTGTTAAGCCGATACTTACTCAAATGGGCAACAAATATCCTGCTTTTATAAAACCCAAAGGTTCATGACTGTTCACAATAATCCACCATTGGACCCTGTGCTTAATAATTTTAATCCAATCTATACCTGCACACCCTCTAAGCTTTATTTTAATAGTAGATTCCCATCTACACCTAGGGCTCCCAAGTGATCTCATCTTGTTTTATAATTGTAAGATATATAATTTGTATGTACAAAACACAGATTTTCAGATGTTTCAGTTTACTTGTCCTCTTTTCTTCTAATGGCATCAAGCTCCCAGCTTTCCAGTCTTTGTTGTTTATGTGTCCAACCTTTTATTTTCAGTATTCCTGGAAATTAACATTATAATTCAGTTCAGTAACATTTTGTTTTGTTTTTAAGATAAGGCATATTCAGTTTCAGATAGTTAATGTTTCTGTATTCTTGAAAACCATGTATGATTCATGTGGCAGAAACTTTCAGTTTATTAAGAGGGTTTTGATAAATGTATGTTTCTTCAGAATCTAAATGAGTTATTAGTATTAATCTGTTAACATTTAGAATTCATTTGCTGATTGAACTGTGTTCTTTTGTAGGAATACAGTTTGCTGGAGCACATTTAAGAGAGCTTCAGAAAGCATTCAAGAACCCAGCAGCAAACCTAGGACTGATTTTTGGGGAGGCAACAAAGCGAGCCATTCGATCAGTTGGTCTTAGCAGTCCTCCTTCCTTGTCACAACATGTGCATCCAAATCTTGTGCCTGCAGCTGCCCTTGCTGCCAAGGCAGGTGTCTAGTTTCTTTTTAGTAGCTGGGGAATTTGAATTGCAATGCCAGAACAGACTGATATAGCAAGAGTGGACATGCAGTTTCCAGATGTGTACTTTCAAATTTTTCATGAATGTACATGGAGGCTTGAGGCGCTGTAGATATCTATATCTGCTGATGTCTCCCAGTCATGACGATATGCAATGCAGTTGATATGTTCCATGGTGCATGTACCAAAGATATTTCTTGAGTCAGTTCGCTGCATTTTAGCATTTTCTACAGTCATGATGTCAGTATTACGTTGTACTACAAATGATATCACAAATTATATTCTGTGGCAAGATAATGTAATGAGGTCTTCCGCAGTGTGCAGCTACCATTTCTGCTCCCAGACTATAGATGGGGTTTGGATTGGTAATCGGATTTATTCTACTCAACACCCAACTTGTGACTACACTTGACATATCATTGTCACACACACACAAACACACACATTGTTCACAGTCATGTATTCACTAGCTGTTGCTTGGTAGTGGCTTCCAATGGTGGATGTTCCCCTTCTTCTGGGTTCCTGAATAGTCCATGGCCTCAACTACCATCTTCTAACAGCAATAGCTTACAACATTTGAATGCCAGCCTTTTTCTAGCTAAGTTACCACTCACCAACCAACTTGACTCAACCCACTCAACTGACTGACTTGTCGTGCTTATAACATCTCAGCATGGACCGTATAGATGACACTGCTCCTTTGTTGCAGTACAGTTGTTGCCATGGAATTGTTGCGTATATGTCTGTTGGCATAGCTGTTAGAAATGGCTGTTGTATAGTTCCTTATTTTTTGGTAATTTTTAATTTAAGATATAAAAAATTCTGATTTCAGATTATACCTTTCCTTCATTCATTATTACTCCACAGAAGCTTTATTTTTATGCTTATATTTATATTTAATGCTTGTAATCTGCTTACATTATAAATTAATTACATTATATTCCTAGTCCATGTCCAAGTTTCTATCTGTATGCCAAAAGAACAAATTGTATGATTTATACAAAGCTTCACCATTGAGCTCAACACCAAACCCACTCAATGCAGTTAACATCTTTATATGTCAGTGTGTCATTGCCTTTATAATTATTCTGTACTTTGATCTACTATTTTTTATTTATTTGAAAGTGATGTTATTAATTTGTTCTGCAGAGTATTGAATCTTTTGGCCAGGCAGTTGAGGCTACACTACTCAAGTATGGACGTGGTGTTGTGGAAGAGCAGTTTGTGTTAAATAGGCTTGCCAATGCAGCCATTGACACCTACACGATGGCTGTAGTTCTCTCTCGAGCCACCATGGCACTACAGAGTGGGTTACCCTCTGCACATATCCAAGAACTCATGACCAAAGTTTGGTGCAGTGAGGTGAGGATTTGGCATCTCATCTGTGTTGTTGTTATTAATTATTATTATTATTATTATTATTATTATCATCATCATCATCATCATCATCGTTGTTGTTGTTGATGACTGAGGGGTCAGAGTTCAAGTCCCGGTGGGGCCAAGAGTTTTCTCTTCTCCAAGTTGTCCAGACTGGCTCTGGGGTCCACCCAACCTTTTATCCAATGGGTACTGGGGGGGTAAAGTGGCAGGGCGTGAAGCTGACCACTCACCTTCAACTAGTGCCAAGGTCAAGAAAATGTGGATTTATACATCCACTCCCCCATACATTTTCATGGCATAGTGGTTAATTAGTTAAGCACAGGGAAAACTTTACTTTTTATTATTTACTGCAATTGGGTGTTCACCCAGTGGCAGTTCACATAGGACAAAACAAAGTACACACAATGCAAACATATACAGTAACTAGGAGTACACTTAAACAAGAGAACTTCACATCATTTCAGTTTTCATCCAGTCCCCACTTAAAGCCTCTTTGCTTGTAACTGCTTCCCTGACCCTTTCGAAAAGTGTTTAATTTACAGGGAAAAAATGCCAGTATGCCTGCAGGTAAACGGTTCCAATCTTTTATAGTCCTATTTACCAACATATGTTCTTTGTTTCCTACTCCTAATTTTCCTACCATGATCATTCCTACTCAGGTAACATGGTTTTGGCAAGCTATCCCCTATTACTTTCCAAGCTAGTATCCTGGTGTATGCCTTGTGAAGGGCACACAATTGGGCTAGCATTCTACACTGTGCCAAAGTTTCCCAACCTGATTCATTTGTATGATTTGCAAATTTAGGCACTCTTCTTAGTATCCTATTTAAAGCACTTACCTGCCCTTCTCTGTATGGGTCCCAACATACCACACCATATTCAAGTATCATTCTCACTATTGATGCATAAGCTAGAAGTTTTTAGTCATTTCCCTGTTTGAGTACATGCATAACTAAATGAAGGGCCTTCCATGCTTTACATAGTGTATAGTTTACATGAGCTGCCCAACTTACATCACTGCTTATGATTATTCGTAGGTACTTAAGGCTATTTGCCACCAGAATTAATTGATCCCAAAAATAATAAGTCAATTACTCCTTCACCCTAGCTCTCGTGAAACTTACCACTTTACTCTTATCTGGATTTATCTTCATCTCATTTTCTACTGCCCATTCCCCTAATCTTTTCAGATCTGTCTGAAACTTGCCAATGTAACTACGTACTATCCAATATTTTCCTATATAGCATGCAGTCATCTGCAGATATCTATATATTTGAGTCAGTCTCTCTCCAAATATCGTTAACATAAGCTAGGAATAGTAGCAGACCTAATGCTCTCCTTTGAGACACTCCCTGCATCACTCTGACTTCAGATAGGTGCTCGTCTACTCTTAACTCTCTATGAGCGTCCTAAGAGAAATTCCTTTATCCATACAACTACCCTCAAGTCCACTCCATTTTTTGATATTTTTGTAAATAACCTATCATGTGGGACTAAATGGAAGGCCTTTGAAAAATCTATTATTATTGCATCTGTCCTGGCCCCCTCACCCAAGGAACCAGCAGTATCCTGACAAATTGTGACTAATTGACTTTCATATGAATACCCTGGTCTGAAGCAATGTTGTCTCTTGTGTAACCACTCACTCCTTTCCCAAATTTCCCTTAGATACCCTGCTATAACATGCTCCATTTGTTTGCAAACCACTGATGTTAAACTGACCGGTCTACAGTCTCCAATTACTGTTCAATTTCCCTCTTTGTAAATAGGGACCACTATACTTTTTCCAGTCCCTGGGATAATCTATTGATTGCTATGTCCAGCATTCTCGCAAGGTATGGAATTATGGCTTCCCCACCCAACTTTAAAATTTCCTCAAGAATACCATCTGGTCCAACAGATTTTTTCTCCCAGTTGCTGATAATCACTGCATTATAATGTTTATACTAATATTGAAGGGTTTAACTGAATCTGTTGATTGGATTTGCAGATTATTTTGTTTGCAACTGAATACAGGTGCATAATAAGAATTTAAGATGTCAGCTTTTTCCATTGGATCTGTGATGAGATTGTCATTATAGCCTTTGATTACTGGAATATTTTCTCTATTTCCTTTGGGTCTCTTTAACATACTTGAAGAACTCCACCCCGCATTTACCTTCATTTTGTAAGACTGAACATAAGAAGGTGTCTTGAGACTTCCTTTTTGCTACCAGTAACTCCTTAGGTAAACATTTCAGCTCCTCTTGGTAATCCCCTCCAAATTTCCTCTTATTGTACACCCTACTCACCATTACCTTTAACCATTTAACTTCTCTGTTATAGTAAGTACTCTGGATCCATATTTTTACTCAGAATTTTATGAGGCACAGAACGTTCAATATCCTTGAAAACTTGTGTCTTTATAAGGTTTGAGGTTTTCACGGCAGTGACTATCTTCTGGGATGTGGTGCCGTGTAGATATGGTGTTAACCAACGTTTCAGAGGAACATATCACCGCCATCTTCAGGGTAGAAGGAAAATAAGAAAATCCACAAGCAAAGAAACAGTGAGAGAAGCTGCAAGCAGACTAATATCGGACATTAGTCTGCTTGCGCCACATGTCTTTATAACTTTTCCATTTCTAGTCCATAAGGTAAACTTTTCCCGAAGAGGGTTTATAACCCTAAAACGTCTGTCTTATGGTAAAATTCGACTATCCTTTCCATTCCTTTTCATCCCATTCTACTTCTAACATTACACCATGATCATTGATTCCAGGTACAGTGTTACAAGAGGTAAACAAATATCAGGTCTGAGGAGGTAAATGTCCAGCAAAATAGTAGTTGATGTACCTTGTCCTATTTTTGTTACTGTAGCTTTGTTCCAAACACTTACTGTTTGTTGTTCCTGTTGGCCAAGAATTTAAACTTTAAATGAGTGTGAACTTTTAAATGTGCACATGAGAGTGCCTCCCTAACACTGCCTCCAAGCTCAGGAATGATTTTGGTTTTGTGGATTGCTCTTGAAGCGTGAAGAATGAGTGAGGTCCTAGGCATCACTCATAATATTAAGAGGAAGAGTGGGATGCAAGTCATTACTCTAAATGTTAGGAGAAAGAGTGGGGTCTTATGGTTCGCTGTTAATGCTTTGAGAGAGAGTGGGATTTTAGGTGTCACTCTGAATGTTAGGAGATAGAGAGAAAGGGGTCCTATAAAGGTAAAAAGGTAAAGTTGCCCCTGTGCTTAACTAATTAAGCACTATACCCTGAAGGCATAAGGGGGAATGGAGATATAGATCCACATTTTCTTGACCTCGGCACTATCTGGAGGTCAGTGGTCAGCTTCATGCCCCGGCCGGTTTACACCTGCGGAAGAAGTCCCTGGTAGCCATTAGGTAGGAGGTTGGGTGGAATCTGGATGATGTGGAGAAGAAATTCTTGACCCTACCAGGACTCAAACTCCGACCCCTCGGTTGTCTGGCCTGTAGACAGTCACTTTACTGACTATGCTATCCCAGCTCCTAGGGGGTCCTATGCACCACTCTAAATGTCGTGAGAGTGAGTGTGATCCTAGGAATTACTCACGATGTTGGGAGAAAGGGTGGGGTCTCAGGTATCACTTCAATTTTTTTTTTTTTAATTTTCTTAGTGGAGGGTGGATTCCAACTGGGTCCACTCAGCACAGCAGCCACTGATTGACCTAGTGTAGCCTGCCCTGGATGATTATGATGATGGAGAATTTGGTGGAATGAAGATTGGCAGGGGAAACCGAAGTACTCAGAGAAAACCCACCCCAGTGCCACTTTGTCCACCACAAATCCCACTTGACCAGACCTGGGATTCAACCCGGGCTGCTGCGATGGGAAGCCAGCGACTAACCGCTTGAGCTATGACGCAGCCCTCAGCTAATCACTTAACTGTTGAAAGAGACGTATTACTCTTAATGTTACGAGAAAGAGTGGTGTTTTAGGCAACATTCTGTAAATGTTATGGGGAGAGTTGGGCCCTAGGCATAAATCAGAATGTTAAGAGAGATGATGCTTGCCCTGATTCATGAATCATATACATGTAATGCATGTTCAGGGGTGACATATCTGCGTCCTTGGCACAGCAGCAATGCTTGTGATTTGTATTCTGCAGAAGCTGGGTTTGAATCTTAGGGTTGTTACTGGCAGTCCTGAGTAAGGATTTTCATGGTTTTACTTGGTCTGTTCAGATGAATAGTATGATAATATCCTGTAATAGGCCTTGAGAACTGCCCATCCCATCTTCTGTCTACTCATTTCATGCTCAATATCCTCTGCAATTGATACAGTATTATTAAGTTACATGTCTTCAGACCAAGTGAACTAGGAGGGGTAATGCTTGAAATAGATGTGACTGCTTTCTTCCTCATCCTTTTCATTTTAGTACATATCATTAAGTCATCTCTTTCAATGCTGAATAGCATCTGCAGTTGATACATTATAATTAAATTACTTAGTAATTAATCCCACCCATACATACAGAAGGGGTGAGACTAATATGAAGTCATATACTGTTACAGGCATCTGGACGTGTGGCTGAGAACTTGGGAGCAATTCGATCTAGTCAAACACTTGAGAACTTCTCAAATCTTAGTGCCATTGCGAAAAATGTTTGTGAGAATGGAGGCCTTATTCACATTAATCCACTGAACTTTTAATGTGATGATCTTGTGTTAACAAGGTAAGGGGACTGTGCGCATAATGATGTGACTCTCGCAATACATGCTCTGTTTGGTTTTGCTGGATAAGAATGGGAATGGAATTGTAATTCCATGTCATTATCTGTCATCACCACAGCCATTTAGCTGTAAAAACACACTGAGAAGCCGAGAGATGCCTTGAAAAATGAAAATTACTTGGATATTACATATATTGTTGTTTTATACTCTGTACTTTAAAAATTCACTTGTTGCTGGCCTAGAAGCTGGGTGTTCAGAGCTATCTCATGGGTACAACTGAAAAAATTAGGCATAGGATTATCTTGACTATTTTGTACCCATTAAAATTTGGTAAAATTTTATTCTTTACATCATCTGAGACAGTGTTCAGTGTCTCATTTTGAAAGAAAAATTAATGTTGTCACATGCATCTCCTACAAAGAGCCATATTTTGCTAGTAGAACAGCCTGTGTATGCTTGAAAATTTTATTATATCTGATGAATTTTAAGTTTCTACAGTGAGTTACTTCAGATGAGGGAAATTTCTTGTCTGCTGGGTACCAAATCATCAACAGCTGTTAAATGTGTTGAGATGTAATAAAGTAACGAAGTCTGTAATGTCTCAACACATATACCTAGCTTGTAGTGGGGTCAGTGACTGTGCCAAGATAACTGTTATGCAAGCAGCCTATTGATTAATGAAGTTATTGGATTGTAAATATTCCATGAATCTGGATACACAGCTGTATAAAGATTTGTATAAAACAGTACGTGCTGGTTTGCAGTTTTTGCACAGTAGCATTTTGTATATGAATAAAACTGTGGTGGATTTGGTAAGTTTACTTATAGCTTGTTCCGGAGTATATGTTTGTATAAACACTGTAACCATGTCTTATATGAGTTGAAATAGTTTTCTTTTTTGTGGTGGGGTGAGACAGAGTCCCTTAGTACATATTATATTTTAGCATCCCATTGTATTGAGGTATCATCCTTATTATCAAAGTGTCTGTCAATAATGCAACAATTTAAAAGACATTAGGAATATGTTTCACACTAAAAATGTATTTCAGCACTTTTTGAGGTTAAAATCATTACAAGTCAGTAGGACATTAAAAGCACATTCTATACATTAGTACATAGACTGCAGATGGGCCCACTGTACCAGCCCTGACAGATAATAGAATGGGCATTGGTAGAATGATAATTGGCAGAGGAAAACTGAAGTATTTGGAGAAAAACCTGCCCCAGTGCCACACTGCACATGGACTGTACCGAGATTAAATGTATAGCTCAGTGGTGAGAAGCTGACAATGGCTTGAGCTGTGGAATGGATCATAAAAAACGAACTCCGTGGCATTAGTCTGCAAGCGAACTATACCGACCAAGCGACCACCACTTGTCGGTGAAGTTACTGCCAACTTTAGTGTCACGTGGTCAGCGCAACGAATCCCCATAGCTGTTAATTTTGGTTTTCTACACTAGAGTGGCATGGATTTTACTTCTGTTTAAGGCCATCATTATTTGTCTTAGGATTCATATCAAGACATTGAATAAAGGCTGAGAGAAGATCAGGTTTGTGGGCTGGACGTGTGAGAATTATGTAATTAAAAGTGTAAGTGTAAAGTAAAAATTAAAATCTGTGTTTCTGTGCAGTAATAGTCTTGTAGCATGTCCAATAATATTTTGTAATGGACTTTTTGATTGTGATATTTCAGGTGAACTTTTGTGAAATAAGGTGATATATAATCAGAGTTTGTTTGCTACAAAATAGATTTAAATGTTTTACTTTTTAATAAGGAAAGTTTCTTACTATTCAGCAAATAATGTGAATATGGTCAGAGAACACCATACATGATTCAGGATTTACTTGTTTTTCCACAAAAACATTCAACTCTTACAGCATTCAAGTAAATGTACATGATGATTAAAACATTTCATAAGTTGTGAACTGTAAGAAATACCACCATAGTTACTCATTCTGAAAGATAGTTTCTTGTTTGTGCAGTGATTATAACTATCAAAATGTTTGTTTTGGCATGATAATGACATATGGGAAGACGTTGCTCTGAGGTTTCTGCATGCTGTTTTATAAAATATTCACAACAGAAACCACAGTTATGGTCTGATTTGTTAAAGTTGGTATTATTTTCATTTTGCTGTGTTCTGGCTAATCATACTGACTTGACAAAGCATAGAGCACTTGCCAGTGACACTGATGAACATCAGACATTTAAAGTGTGCCAGTATAGAAATGACAATGGAAACAGAAAATTACTTAAACCTGCAGGCCTACCACAACATACATGATTACAACTTCAGTGCCATATAATCTAATAAAGGTTCTTCCCCAACTTTGAAGTATCCAAATCAGGAAATGGTTGAAATACATAATCTCCAAATAATGTGGGTACAGACATAGGAGGAGAGCTTAAAAAATGGCTGTGGAGTTGGAACAGTCTTCACCTTAATGTGTGTGGATGGTAGACAAAGAAGAAGAGCTGAGGATATAACAGTGAAACCTGTGACAATAAATATGTATTTTCATACAGATATCACACTATGACAATGTCTGCATAGTTAACCTTTGCACATCCAGTATTTCTTATGAGAGCGACAGAAGAGATTTCAGATGGTTCAGAAAGCTTTGTAAAGAAGATTTAAGCACATGTGAGGAGTAAGATGTTTATTATAAATGCAGATTGTATAAATAGCTATAATCAATTTCAAATTAGTTATGCCAGTCGCAACTTTCCATACTTCTTGGCTTATGAAGGCATAGGTTGAACATAAACATTTCTGGCCTCAGCATCTCTTAAGAAGTGAGGTATATGATGAAGTCAAGAGCTACAAGTTTTACACATTTTTATATTCAAATACAGAAAAATGTTTGAATAGCAGCCCAGAAAACAACAGGTACCACAGTGACCTGGCACTGAAGAGTGGTAGAACCTTGGTCCACAAATACTTTCAGAGCCAATGAAAAGAAAAGAATTTCTCAGTTCCAAGGTTACTTTTTGTCAGACTGTTGTTTTATTTCAAGCTGTTTTAAGAGCATTACAACTGATGCTTAAGTTAATAATGCTGTTTAATGGGCAGGATTTGGAAGGGAGCGGTGATGGCTGTTTGGACATACTATCCCATAGTTATTTTACCTTAACATACTGAGGAAACCCATGAAAAACTTGAGGAGAGATAGAAAATTGGCTAAGATTTGAATCAGGTACCTACTCTGAATACAAGTCTCAGTGTTATTAGTTCTTTAACTGTAATAGTAAGGCTACTACAATGTGTAAACAGATAAATTTGTTAACAAAATATTACATTGATACTTTTAATAATCCACCTTGGCTCTGTGTGCAAGTGAATCTCGAATTCTCTGAATGATCACATAGGAACTACTGCTTTGGAGGGTTCAGCACTTATGTCTGTAGATTATGTGATGCCTTTTTCGGTATGGTATTGAAAGAGAACAGTTTAGGTAACAATCTCCAATACTTCAGTCACTTAAACTGTCACTGAAGTATCAAGGTTGTCAAAAAAATAAGTTTCCCTTTTTGGCAAATGGTTGAGCTTCTGTGGTAGTCTGATGAATTGCTTACTGCATATGAATTCATAAAGACATTCTACAATTCTGAAAATGAAAAATAAAGACTGAGAGTTAAAGAATTATCATAGGTAAGTTAGGTATGATGTCTCAGAATAATGAAGAGAAAGCCAGTTGCAATGCTGCTTTAAGTATTGGGAGAAGAGGGGACAAAACATGGCTCCGTTATCAGGACACTTTGTCGTATGCAATAACAGATCACACTGAAACAGTAAAATTATGAGATACGTGTCTAAACACGTCTATTAACGTTTTAAGTGATGTCAATTTTGGAGAACATTTCTCCTTTCCATGCAATACATATACAATAATGTTGGAACAATTGGATGAGCAACTCCTGTTCATCCAGAAATTCAATATGTTCAATACGTTGTCGATCACTGGCTGGGAGTGCGGCATATACTTCCACCATGTCCCATGATAGTGACCCATTCCACCCAGTTGTCAGGAACCTAGATGAAAATGGCACGGTATCACAGAAAGCTACAATAATATTCATGATACCAAAAATTAAGAAAGGGTGGAAAGATTAAAGTAAATGTGATATGGTGATTTTACATACCTCAGTTACATTTATTCCAGATTTAATGTAATTCATTAAATAAGCTCCATATTGGAACATGTTTCAATTTATGTTATTACAGTCTTAATAAGATACACAAAATTATTTAAAGGGTGGGCCATTTCTGAGAACCTTTGTAAGCTCTATTTGAGATTAAAGTAAAACAGTGATTATAGTTGAAGGATATTTACAAAAATTAAACTGGCCTACCAACTTTCAATGTTAGACCTTCAAAACTAAATATCATTGTAATCCTGTGAATAGATATGACACAAACTCTGTCCTAAGTGCAAAAGTTTATTGTAGTTCTTTCGTCTTCTTTTCTTCTACACTACATGTTTCGGCCATAAATGGCCATCATCAGGTGTATACTCTCACGTAGCTGCTACACTGCACGTAGTTTAAAATTTAAAAAGCACTAGTCTTCCCAATTGTTCGTTTCTCCGTTGCTGACAGATTTCGATATATTAGAATCCTCACCGCTGATATCTGTAAAATAAGTATAAAATCTTTGTTAACCTACACATGTCAATTTGATTTTTAAAAACTGTCACTTTTAAAATCTTCAATTCCAATTTAAAAATTTCTTTAAAATTTTTTCAAATTTTAAAATTTAAAATTCTCATGGATACCCGCCCTTTGTCTATAGTGCTGCAGCGGCTACTTCTTGTTTTCAGCACTTTTCAGGTATTATTCTGTGTAGGCTCCCTGTGTGCGTGCCACTGCTTATCTTTAATATGTAAAGACACGTATTAAAGATAAGCAGCGGTATGATCATAGTTAGTCTGTAGGTTAGGCCATGCCATAGCTCAAGCGGTTAGTCACTGGCTTCCCACTGCGGCAGCCTGGATTCGATCCTGGGTCTGGTCAAGTGGGATTTGTGGTGGACAAAGTGGCGGTGGGGCAGGTTTTCTCCGGGTACTTCGGTTTCCCCTGCCAATCTTCATTCCACCAATTGCTCCACAATCACCCTCACCTATCATCTGGGGCTGGTACAATAGGCCAGAAGTGGCCGCAGTACAAGGGACTTAGTCCCACCCCAGTAGCAATAAAAGGAAATAGTCTGTAGGTTGTGTAATGCTGCTGGGTATTTAAGATCAGCGAGATTGGTAGATGATATATGATTAACTAAAAAGAATATGAACAAAGTTGTGATCAACCCAGCAACTGCCTGGAGGGTCTGAGGAAAAACAAAACTCAGCACAATTCATAACCAGCTATTTTAAGTTAGAATCCCCTGATAGGAAGTCCAATATATTAATGTTCTTCAGTCTTCCTCAGCAGAGTAACAATGGCAGTAAGCAAGATTTGTAGGCCAGAAGCTAAAATCTTTCCTTAAGTGAAGCGGTGTTAATATATTAACCCTGTTCGAGTGACTGCTAACATATTCACACCTCCAACAATGAGCCACGTTGCAGGAGCACACTCATCACTATGGATTCCTTAAACTAACATAACCTGCAACCTATCTACCAGATTTTGTTCAAATTTATACTGCTCTTCTTACAATGCGACCATTAATGTCTGTGAGAGTCATATCTTACAAAACACTATTCTGTGTAGAGATCTGCAATGCCATGTTTAAAAAGGTGAAGTAAATTTAGCTGTCTTAAGTTCTATTTCCCTTGTTCCTGATTAAACTAAGTAACCAGCATTAAGGTTCATCACTGCTATATCTAAACCTACCATCAGACATGATCCAGACTCAGTGCTGGCCACCTCTCATCCTCAGTACCTACTTCCTTAAGATCCATCTTAATAGTGTTCTGTTTGTAACTGAAACAATATCTGAGGTTCTCAATGGCAGTGGCTATGAAGATTGTCATCTGGGATGTAACACCATGCAGTTTGCTAGATTCAGAGGAACCTGGTGCCTCCATCTTCAGTGTAAGAGTAAATCATGCAGGAAAACGGTCAGTGATGTAGGGAAGGCAGAAGGGCTAGGTCTACAAGTGAAGCAATTGGAGCAGTGTAAAAGGAACAAAATCCTATGGCCCTGAAAATGGCTGCACTTGCAGACAGAAGAGGCTAAGAAAGAAATTGAAATAAAGACAAGCAAAGGAAAAGGAAGGAATGAAAAAATTGTATCATAAAAAAATATAAAACTAGTTTACGAGGCCAAGTGATTATTTCACTACTGAATAAACTACATTGAAATTCCTCAAATATAGCGTTTGTTCTTATGTTAGTACAATAAATAGCTGTGACTGGAGCACCAACCTCTGTCTTTGTGTGTCGAGATTTTGGCATGCACCCACTCCAGCCAATGGACAGCCACGTGCTCGTAGATTTCGCAACATTACATCTCCAAATTTGTCTCCCATATTTACCTGCAACAATGTGTATATCTCTACAACACCAAAATTACTGTCATGTGTATGTGTGTGACTGTAGACACGGGTTTGGATTCGTGAATGGATTTATTGATCACTTATACACAGGACTCAGAACTACAAGCACTTTCACTGATTTCCACACTTTACACATCACTACACATTAAGTCTACTCCAGCCTGCAATGTCTTCACTGATCGTTACTTGGTAACAGCTTTCAACGATGGAGATTCTTCAGCTTCTGTGCTCACATCATTAATGTCTGGCGAATATCCCACAACTGAACTACAGAGCTATATCTCCTGGGCCTCCCTTGCAGAACTGACTGGGTTGCCCTATCATCTTCCTTATAACCCCTTTTCATGGACTAAGTAGAAAACACCATTTCCAACAGTAACTCTATCGTTGTGTTTGTGTATCCACTGCCTAGAAATGGTCGTCGTTTATTCATCCATCTCACAGTCTTTGCATAGCAATGGCTGTACATGCTACAGTATGTACAAGCAATCACCATTAACCATCATTATACTGGATTGGGAAGCTTTAAATGCCAAGTCACAGTGGCCAGTTTTTTAACTCAGGGGGGGGGGTTATAACTGAATATTATATTAGTGTCGAAGAGATGTGTATGTCTTTGGAATGAAACCTGCTAAAATATTCACAGTATAATTCCCATGGTGGTACACACTTGTTCAATGCTTGTGGATGATTCAGAATCGAGTTTGTCACCTTTGAAACTATTTAAAGCCTTTGACAAGGGTGATATCTACTTTGTATGTTGTTCAAATGATTTGCATCTGACTAGCTAAAACTGCAAAATTCTAGTACTCTGGATATTTCATACAGGCTACAATTCCCTCATCTTTCGTGCATAATGACAACACACAAAAGTTCAGCTCGGGTACTGAACACTGTATACCTATTCAATGACAGAAATAAACTGTTCAGCTTTCTCTCTAATATGAGGCTTTAAGGTTGCATGCCCTGTTGACTTACATAATCACATCTCTCTCAACTCTGTAATAACACATCATTCTACCTGAAAAGGATTATACAATATGTGAGATCTGAGGTTCTCACAGTAGTAACTATGGAGATGTCTTTTCTGATGTGCTACTATGTAGTTTGGTAGAAGAGTACTAATATTTCAGAGAAACCTGCTGCCTCCATCTTAAAGACAGAAGAGTCACTCCCTTCTACCCAGAAGATGGAAGCAGCAGATTCCTTCAAAACATTGGGGTGAACCTACAAAACTACATACCATCACAGTAATCTTTGATTACATAACAGATTAAGTCATATGAAATATTTAAACAGTCAGAAGGGCCAGCTGCATTACCTTCATAGACAAGCAGGGTAACATGCAACTACAAACCTGCTCATAATTAACAAATAAAGCAGAATCAAACTTCTTTGCTATCCAGCTAAGCAACTGCTCCACCTGTGGTGCATCAATGTAGACCAGAACACACTCTGCTAAGAACAAAGTTGGAATATTGAATTTCACCTCGGATTCATTTAGTTTCACTTCAACCTCATGCAGGTTGCGAAGATCAACCCCAACAATGTGATAATTTCCTGCATGCAGGTCTGTGGCACTAAGCCGTACTTCTCCATCTGAAAAGTCCAAAATACAATTTAGTGATAGCTTTATATGGTTGTACTACATCTATCTACTTCTATCAAACATTGGACATATCAAAACACAAATTCAAGCCCAGGGAAAGGGTTATGAATATGTGCCACTTTGCAGTCTGTAATTTTTATTAAACATTTATGAATGCTGTGATTCTTCTACACAGCATTTTGTTTAGAGCAGCTCTCGGCTTGTTCCATGCTTGTGAAATAAATACTAGAAGCTCTATCCTTCTTGACAAAGTTGTCAGTGCATAAAGGGTGACCACTCACCTCCTTTTGGTACTGGGATGAAGACACTGTAGCCTATAAAATTTCGTATATTGTCCAATACAGAATAAGTATGTCTAGACTTACTTCTACCATTTACTATATCAAGCAATAATATACCACACAAACTAAAATTTATATAAAGGGTTCAGAACCTTCCACGTGTATTTTGTCAAGCAGTACTTTATTTCTCTTTATTAAGTAACATTTTCTAGCAGTGACACTGGGAAAATCCATCTCCACGAAATTTGTTACATTCTTATTTGAATCCTTCAGCCTCCAATATAAAGTGTCAAAGCCAGATCCCAAGTTGACAATTTGACGTTCACTCCCACTTTTCTGGAACATGTAAAAGTGCGTCGATTAAAGGCGAAACCAAGAGATTGTGAAACAGAGGCATAAAAGATTAACAAACACCATACCTTTAAAAATTTATCAATAAACATTTCTACTCCTTTTGCCCTTGCATAATATCCACGATTTATTTCCGGAGGTTTTTTCTCTCCCGCGCGTACAAATAACGAAATATACCGATCTTCCCAATAACCCAACTGAGCTGCACAGCGTTTACATTCACTTGCATCGTCATTAGTAGCCTGTACACCTTCGTTGCAAGCCATGGAACTCGTAATACAAGGATGTCAACTATCTTACGACTAGTGACACAAAAATTAATCTATGATTATTTTACACAGTTTCAACTACACTTTGCCACTGCGGCCATATTAAATATGACCATTGCCACCATTTGACAAAACGATAATACCGGATAATCGCTTCATTGAAAAAAGCTTAGAATTGAATTACTAAGGTTATGGATGATTAATATTAAATTCTGTTACTGTAGCACATACATTTATATCAATTAATTTATTTCTATTTCTACTTTGTTGGTTGACCTTTTGTGACAGTACAATTAATGTTGGCAGCATCATATGGCAATTACTGAATGTGAGTTTAGTGTATATTTTACACAGTTTTATTATTACAAAGTCACATTATCTGTAAGAGCAGAACTTGTTGTTAATTTTACAATAAGTTACGAAGGTTGTAGCGGCAAACTAATACTTATGTTTTGGTTGTGTACTGTTATCGGTTGTCGGTGGTCGTCTTCTGTGTTGTATTGTAGTGCGTAGTTGAGCAGTGGTTGTGCGCGTATTTGTTTTTCAGTTTCAATTTCAATTTATTTTTATTCATCAGATCTACATTTTGCGATAGCGCCTCCAGATATAGAACACGTCAAAGCCCAGGTTACAATAATATTAATCCAGAGGACAACGTCATAAAGATATTACAACGTATTTACAATCATTGTTGCAATAACTATTGATACAATGAATGATACATTGTTATACTTTAAATACAACATGCATATAACACTTGCATTGCAACTTATTATCATAATAAAATTCATATTAACATTGTCCATAATAGAGTAAAAGCATATCTGAAGAATTATAGGTATCCTACAATAAAAGTTTTAAAAATGACTAGCGTTGTTTTATTTATCTATAATTAACACAATCATCCCTTGTTTTCCATTCATAATACTCATCTAAAGAATAAAAAGAGCCCACCTGCAAAATTTTTTAAGGGAATATTTGAAAATATTTAAATCTTGCGATAAATTTTTTATACTATGTGGTAATTTATTAAATATTCTAATCCCAGTGTAAGATACTCCCTTTTGTGTCCTGGTTGATTTATACGTTGGATAATGTATTTCGAATCTTTGTCTCGTATAAATGTTATGAATATCTGAATTTACTACATACTTGTCCATGTTTTTAGCTATGAAGACCGATATACTACTGCACATGCGTGTAGTGCTGAGGTGCTGAGCTGCTGAGCACTGCTGAGCTGCTGAGTGCAATTTGGCGCGTTCGAGCAGAGAATGGGCGGAATGGGTGCAATGGTTGAAATGGATGTTGGGAGTCTCAGACTTTATCTTCAAAATATTGAAGAATATGTTATGGATGAAGATAAAATTGTGAGTTAAATGTACACTTTCACCTGCATGCTCCCCTAGAAGACATAATATTTAAGATACTGATACAAAAATGTCACGTATGTTTTAGGTTACCTACAAATGGCTGAGTAAAAATCTGGACATCCATGTAAATACAGCGAAGCAGTAAGTACGTGACAGTGAGGAGGTGATCGGACCGTAAGTTAGATGGTGGCCTGAGCATGCTTGATTACCGTACAAGGTTTATAGATTTATAGAAGGTTTTGTTTGCAGTATGCACGGTCCAATGCAGAAAACGCAAATGTAGTGTCACTCACTAAAAACTCTCGGGTTTACTGGCCTTGTTCAGTACCGTGTCGAAATATAGGTTATACGACACAGGCTAGCACGCTTTAGTTTCTGCTTTCCAGTTTGCACACAAAGTCTAGAGTCTAGCCCTAAACCTTTGCTGAAGTAATGAATCTTGCAGGTTACTGTACACTTTTGCTACAGAGCAAAAGGACGATGTACACCTAACGTACCTGGTTGGAGGTGTCTTGTGTGATGGAACAGGATGCAAAATACAGATCGTTCGTCAGGAAGACCTGGAGAAAGCAAAGGCTGAGTTCAAGGCTTTGACATCAGAACATGTGTATAGTGTTCAGAAGGCAAGGACTCTACCAGACCTGGGAGCTCTGTATGCAGTAGATGTGCACATGAGAGATGAAAATGAAGATGATAAAAGGTTAGTCTATCAAGGAGGATCAGGGACAGAGAACTTAAAGGGATTCTATTAGCAGAAGCTGTCTCCATGCCTAGAAAAGAGTTACTTCTGGAGGGCCGGTTTATAGAGTTTGGTGGTCATGTTCTTGTTTGCACAATGTTTTAACATAGTTGCATTGTTATCAGCATGGGTGGTGGTAGGGGAACAAGCCAGGCATGTGCATATGCACCTTGATTTTTGGGTAAAACAAAATTGAAGAAATAAGGAAATATCAAAGTTATTTCTAAATGTGGCGCCATCTGTATACCATTACAGAGACTGAAAAGCATAGAGTGATCTGTAAAAGTATTTTTAAATGACTTAAACATAAATTTATAAGCAGATTTTCTTGCTTTACCCCTGGCCTCCTTGGAAAATATCCTGTCAATGTTTACTGGTATGCTATTCCAGCTTTACTCATAAGGTTAAAACTTTTTCCCTCAATTTATATTTCACCAACAAATGCATATTTTATTGATAGGTAGATTACATCAGAACAAAGTTAATTTCAATTCACTTGAAATTATTCTGTTTCAGTTTAATTTTGTTGAATTTAGTTGTAGATATATTTCTGTTGGCCTAATAAGCATAAATTGAACATAAATGCTGCAAGAAGTGGTTGGTGATGCCATATGGGCCAGTTCTCAAGATACTAAAGTACATTGTCACCATGCTGTAAAATTACTGTGTTTGCAGGGTAACTTCAAGTTTCCTTGTCAAGAAACCACCCCAGATATGTCAGCTATTTCTGAAAACAGACTGTAGAACACTGAGATGCTACAGTGCAAAATTCAGTGAAGTTCCTCTTTGGTGTTTCTGTATTTCATGAAATCATTTATTTAGTGAATATTTTTTTCTGATCTCATCCAAGGGTCAATATAAACAATATATTGTTTTCTCATATTGACTGAATTTTTTATTTGGTAAATATCTTGCATTTAATATAAGAAACATTTGATCTGCCAGAACCTGTACCTCAGTTTAGTATGTATGTGGTCAAAACAGCAGTTGAAATTCACATTCTCTGTCAGAAATTATCATGCAACCATAGTCTTTGGTGAGTGATGTCACATATTGAACCTGCACTTGAAGTACATTGCTTGTGGTATCACACTTGGTATGAATCTTGGTTGGTAGTCTTTCTGTGTTTGTTTACTTACATATTGAAATTAATTTGTTGTAATTGTGTGCCATAAGTATTGTAAGAAAATGAACAATTTATTGATGTAATTTTGTGTAACCCTCATTTATTGCAAGAATAGCCACTCCCTGAGAGAGTCATTAAATGGTACTGTAGATGATTTTTCCAGTCTCTCTTTGTACATAGGAGAGACCATAGAGAGGATGGTACAGCACTTTGTATATCAAAGAAATAAGCATAAACTAAGCCCTTTGAATGGAGTATTGTAAAAAATAAAGAAAAACAATATTGAGGTAGCAGGTATAGATTTTTGAATTAAACTAAAAGGTAGTAGTTAACAGCTGTGTGTAGTATAAGCATTCTTTGCTATTATTATCCAACACAGCCCATGTAATTGGGTGATTGCTTGTAGCTGATCCGAATGTCTGTTTGTAATAATAGCTGAATGTTGTAATGAAGAATGGTTATATAATTAACAGGTAGAGTGCTTAGAATTGTTTATTCAAGATTTGGGCACTAGAAGGAAGATCCTTGATTATGCCTATATTTGGGCCCCTTTACTGTCATCGGTATGGTAATTATGTGGGTGGTTGGCTGAGATAAAATACATGATTTTGTCTTCAAGGCATGTTTTGATTGGCATTAACTTCAGGGTGTTTCCCTGACTTTGTGATAAATGATCTACAGACTAGGTTAAGCAAGTAAGTTTTATTCATGTTAACACTGCGTACAGCCACTTCAGTGATTGTCAAAGTTAGTTAATTACACACATCAATATTGTCTGGAAGAAAGATATAATAAATCAGAGTTTCACACAATATGTCTAATTATTCCCTTTGCATTTTTATAACATTGTCCTAAATATGCTGATTCTAATGTATTTGCTTGGCTTGAATTGCAACACATGAGAGATATTTATATATTCTTCATAGAGTCCTAAATTGTTTATGCTGGTTATCAATTTTGGATTTGGAGGGCAATGAGGTTACAACCTGTAAATGTGACACATTGATTGATTGATTGATTTTGTCACTGTAGATCATTGTACATGAATGGTATGTATGTAGTTAAAGAAATAAGGCAATATATCTGCATCCAGTGTTTCAGAATTTAAGTTTTTCATAATATTTTGGCTTTTTAGCTTTGTACAACTCCTCTGCTTGTATTTATACAAAATACAGAAAACATATTTGAATTTTGAATTTCTGACCCATTCCCTACTTCCATGATTGCCATGATCCATGTGCTACCTTGACATGTCACGATGTCATGAAATCACATAGCACATCTTAATGTAAGACTGTAGAAGATTCTACCAGTTACAGTAATTTAATTTTAAATGTTCTAACTTGTGTAAACAAATACAGGGATATCAGTATTTTTTTTTTTTTTTGAGAATCTATACACAAACTGTTCTAGTAACATTGATGGCCCCTAGCAGCGGGTACACATGATAATGTTTCTTCATTTAGTAATTTCTATCTTGAGGAATGATACTGGACAGTTTCTGTAATGATGTGACTTCAGTCTTCTGCATTTTCATGCACCACATGGCATGAACCATATCAGCTCCTGGAAGAGTGGTTTGTGGGTTAAACCGTTCTCTTGTCATTCAGAATATGTTTCTGTGGAGAGTCTTGTTTATTACTGTGTTACAGTTCATTGTGTGGTGTTAATTTGTACTGTGCTAATAGTGTGTCTTGTGCCAGGCTGAGTGCTATCACATGCAGCCACTCAGTTCTTAGGCAGCAGGAGGAAATTGAAAGATTGAGGCAGAAGGCTCGAGCTGCTACATCTGCTGTGGATGGAAAACAGTGGCCCACAGGCCCTTCAGTAAATAAGAGAGCAAAAGCACTAAACAACAAGGAGGTAAACCCTTTCCCTTCTTTGTAGATTTATGAGTTGATGTGGTTTTTGGTTTTAGGGGATATATTGCTCAGGTACTGAAGTAAGTTGGGAATGAAGAAAATTGTATTAACCAGCGATTTATGTTTTTCACCTTGTATTCATTCATTCATCTGTAATCTGTCAAAGACGACAGGTCCACAGTCTCTTCCAAAACAGTTCCTCCACTTGATGCGATCTACACCTTTCTCCTTCAAATGAAAATATCCTCTTCTGTCCCCAAGGTCATCCAGCATCTTCTTACGTCTTCTTCCTCATCTTCTGGTCACTTCTATCCGCCCTTCTATCTTTCCTTCAATAACTTCTTTTAGAAGGCAGTTATCGCGTAATATATGACCAATGCAATTAGCCTTCCGTTTTCTTATTTCATGTAGGATATTCCTCTGCTCACTGACTCTAAATAACACTTCTTCATTTCTCACATAATCGGTCCAACTGATCTTCTCCATCCTTCTCCAGCACCACATTTCGAAACTTTCCAGGTGTTTCTGATCTACTGCCCTATAGTTAAATCAAAAAGGCTGAAATGATCAAGACATTTGTATTTATATTGGGGACACAAAAACTTGGTTTAGAATTTTGGTTTAAAACCCATGCTTCAAGAGATGGCTGGGTAATATCACCCTAACTAGGATGTGAGCAAATACAGGATAGTGGTGAACCTTCTGTTTGTATAATGTGAGGGAACAGATTGAGCAGCCAAACAGATGTGGAGATGCAAACTGTGATAAAACTTTGAGAGTCTTCTGAATAGGAAAGGTAAGGGACATGTACATACATATATGAATTTTACAGTTGGTTTTGTTTAAATACATTTTAATTGTACTTATTAATTTCTTGGGCACACAAAATTAAATAATTCTATTGTTAAAGTCTTCATTTGTTTTGAAGTCTAAATAATATGCGATACTGTATCATTTACTCTCACTTCTTCTGTAACCTCACCTAAATACAGGCAGTACAATTGATATATGGAATCCACTCTGAAGAGCCCCACAAATTTTATTATTTCTGCTTTTTCATTTTAACCTGATCGCACTCTCCACATAAAACCATTCATTCATTCATTTATTTACAGTTCTATAAAATCCATGGAGGCGTCTGCCTCAGATATAAAATAAGTCAGCAGTACAATATAATATATGAATATACATACATAATCAGATAGTCGTAAAAATTTTAAATACTCGATACAACAAGACTACTGTACAACAGTAGATTCCATATATTAAAATAACATATAAAATTAGTTATATGATCAAGAGACCACCAAGACTCTTAATATAGTCATATAAAATCTAATTTCTTAATATATAATACACCTATAACACAACAGTAATAGTACCTTTTTCCCATGTATTTTATTCCATAGTCTGTTGCATCCTAGCAATAGGCAACGGTGTTTATTTAAATATACATGAGGGATCAATCTTTATTCCAGCAGTAGTACTCTTCAGCAGTGTAAAAGGAATTGGTGATAAGAAACTTCTTTAATGCCACTTTAAATCCAGGGATGTCATAAGATAATTGTTTAAGCTCTGGAGGGAGGTGGTTTTAAAGTTTGATACCAGAATACCATCCATCTTTTTTAAATATCGTTAAGTTTACCACCAGATGTCACTCTGTTTTTTAAGTAAAATTAATTAACCTTTCTTCATACAGGTTGCTACTGGAGATGCATCCAAGGTGGAAAGTGGTTCAAAGAAAGAATTAAAGAACAGTGTTATACCTGCCATGTTTGCAGCACAGACATGTAAAAATATGAAAGATGAAAAGGTGTGTTAAAAATTCGGCTTCTTTATTATTATTATTTACTTATGGCATGTTTATCAGTGATATTAGTATATTGGGGTATGTAGTGTCAAATGATAGGATAGGGTAGGATAGATATAGATATGATAGGATAGTTAATGAATAATGAATTGGAAAGGAAGGAAGTGGTTGTGACCTAATTTATGGTTTTGGCCCAGCATTTGTTTGGAGAAACTATGGAGAACCATGAAAAATCTTGGTCAGAATAGTCCGTATACCACAAAGGTTTAACTAGGTATCTCACAAACATATTGAAGCATTACCACTTGCTCCATCTTGCTTGGACCTTATCCTTGTGTATGGCTAGACATACATGGTTTGCTCGTCCTTCCTGTCAGTCCTTTGTGATATGTTGTTCAGTGGTGTTGGATACATAGACTTGAATAGTGTTAGAGTACTGGAAATAAGGGTTTGAAAAATATTGAATCTGTAATTGTTAAATTATGTACAGTTGTTAAATTTTTCTTTCGTCGTTTTCTTTAAGGAATTGGTTGATGGATGAAAAGTCCTTCAAGATCCCTGTTATTTTCCTCTTATCAGTGCCTCAAACCACTGATAAGTTCCTGTGAGACTCCTTTAAGCAGCCAAACCCGTCCATTCTGATTGAATTATTCCCAATTCTACCTGTCTTCCATTTATTGTGATGCTTATGATATATTTGATATCAATAGCATGTATTTTACTTTTATTTTCTGTTTGATTTTGTGAACATAAACATTACATACAAAACTTTGTTTGGAAAACATGAAGGGAAGAGACCACTAGGGAGATCTAAGCATAGATTGGAAGGTCGAATTAAGATGGAAATTGAAGATGTAGGATATTGGGAAATGAACTGAATAGGATCTAGTGCTGGGCTCTCAGATTTCATAAAGGGCAAGATTTTCTTGTCCAGCCAAGTGACTTCTCAGGAAGGGCTGTGCCCACTGGTATTCATTAATATACAGTAAAACTTGGTTATAGCAACATCGGTTTCTGTGACACCTTGTCTATTGCGACAAATATTCAATGGTACGAACTAATTCCTCATAAAGCAACTATTTTTATACCTTGCCTAGTACGACATGCACAAATGCATCAACCTTGTATGTAACGTCATTTTCATTCCTGAATTTCTCTGATATCGTGGGAAAGTTCGATGTGTCTGCCCACCCTCACTTTCTCTACTTGCTGACGTGACTGTCCTGGAAGAATACGACCGCGGGCTGCAAGAGAAGCGTGGGTTTTATGTGAAAACAAGGGTGTGGGGTGGGACTGCGTGAATAGTGCAAGAGGACGCGGCAGGTTGTTAACTGCATTCCTTTCCTAGAATCTCGTCTAACAGGACCTCACATTGTCTACTTACCCTATAGTGTTCCTGCCTAAACCCAGAGAAGTGCAGTAGCGAAAACATGGCAATGAAAAGGAAAGTTTTAAGCATTGAAGAGAAAGTTAAAGTGATTCGTGAAATATTGTGTGTATTGTCAGTGAAAAGCGCTGTAATATGTCTTTGATATTACACATTTGGGCAATTCCACGTTAATGTTACGTTAGTCTGTACTTAACTACGTATTTCACTAAAAAATGCAACATTTTAACTCGGTTTTTGGTAGATTTTTACGTGACTAACATAAGGCTACCGTGGAAGTGCCCATTTCGGTTAAAACGACATTTGTTTATAGCGACACTATTTTTAGGTCCCTTTGATGACGTTATAACCAAGTTCTACTGTACTTTAGATTGCTCATGTTTCAGTACCATGTGTTCATACCGATTTACAGAGTTATACATTTACACATTTATAATTTGCATTTTTGTAGGAATTTTGCGTTCCACAGTAGCTCCTTCACAGTATTATACAGTTTTGAACTTCATTGAATTCTGCCATGTGTTGATTCCATAAATCTAGACAATTCTTTGTCTTTTCAGTACTACATGATTGAATTTTATCTGTAGAGCACTGTTTACATTTTTTTGTTATTTACCTCCATTATCATTAGTTTGCGTCTTTTGTACAGCCTAAAGCTGCAGAAACGTTGACAGCCAAGCCAAAAGCTAGCAATGGCAGCAGTGTGTTCTTCAGTAAGCAGACAGAGAAACCAGTAAAGCCAAAGGTCTCCGTTTCTAAAGACAGTGCAAGTGGATTAAGCTCAAAAGATTCGGAAGGTAACAAAGAGGAGGTAAAGCGTGCGTCGAAAAGTCACCAAGAGAAACAAGAAGACAGTCAGAGTAAAATTAAATTATCAAAGAATGTTAAGTGTAATATCACGAAGCAAACTGAGAAGAAAGGTGGAAAGGGTAAAAGTATAAATATGGACACTAATGAGTTGCTCCCAGCGAAGAAACGAAAGCGAATTCTTGTTATTTCAGATTCAGAAGACAGCAGTGGTGATGGTGAGTAGAAGCTAAATGTGTAGATTACATGTGTGTTTGAAGTCTTTTTCAGAGGTAATTATTGTCAGTTACAGGTAATTTTAATTTTTGTATGGGCCTACTATTTTAGTTGTAAGCTGGGGGTTAATTTGCAGTTGTGTGTGGCAGATATACTTGACAGGGATGATGCAGAGGCCTCTGATTCATCTCCATTGCCTGAAGTTTCTCCACAACTACATGAAAGTAACACAGATGATGTGATACCACCCACTCCAGAGGCTGAATTGAAGAAGGGTCGTAAACGTGTCCGCAAGATGAAAGATAAGACATTTATGGAAGAAGATGGTTACATGTGTAAGTATGGATCTCTCATTACGAAAGTCTATGTAGCAGGCCATTTCTTTGACTTGGTCTCTGATGGATCAGCGAACTTGTGGAGGTATGTAATAACTACTATCTTTGAATGAACCATTTTGTGTATGTTTAAAATGCTAAATTTGATGATGTGAAATGGGTTTGTGTATGACCTGGTAGTGATTATCTGGTGATGTAATTTTTTGCTGTTGCAGTGACCTGCAAGGAATATGTAATTGAAAGTTGTACAGACAGTGAAGAAGAGCAAACAAATGAAAATGAAAAGAAGCAGCCAGAAGAAAATTGCGAGCCAGTTAAATCAGACACACCTAAGAGTCCAAAAGCTGTCAGTAAGGAACCTCCAGCTAAGAAGAAGTCACTACGACAAAAAACTAAGCAGGCAACACTCACGAATTTCTTCAAGAAAATCAGCTGAATTTTTGCTGTATTTCGAGTTAGTATTTATGCTGTTTTGAGGCTATGCCCTTTATGTTGATTGAACTATTGTGATTGAATGCTGAATGTGTACAAGATTGAGAACAAGTCATTGTCAAGTTACAGGCTGTTTTTTTAGACTTGGACTTCGGGTTGTATGTGAGGAGAAGTATGACAAGAAGTAGCAGGGCAGTGGTTGCAGCTGCTTTGTAGGAGGGAGGAGAGTGATGCACTGTAACTGAGGCCCTGTTTTTACCTGTATGCATCAGACAGCCCTTATCTTAGTGGACTTGAACAAATTCACTGTACCAGGTAAAAAAAATGGTGACAGTACTACAGTGTAGAAGGTTGTGAAGATTTTGCTGAAAAAAGATTTTAAATCTTATGCCTTAGAAATGTAATGAGTTGTATATATAAATATGTGACTTCTTATGCTGGACAGGAACAAATAAAATTGGCTTATATGTTCTTTTACAGTATTTTTTGTTCCTACTTATACTGCAGTGAAACTGTATTGTTATGTCACTTCAGAGTTTGTTCACTGATTTATTTTCTGGCTAATACTGCAATCACACTTCTTATATGTCAGAATGTGTACAATTTCTTATTAATTCAAACAACTTGGGACTGAAAAGAACTTCATATTATATACATTTCAACTGTTTTTTTTTCAAGGACTCGTTACCTGCTGAGTATAGGAATTTATACTGGTAGTAGTGTCAGGAGGGGAGGATACTGGGCTGGAAGGGGCTACTTCTAAGCCAACCAAGTAGAACGAATGGGTCAGATTATACAGCATATAAGGCATTCTTGTATCTAATTTTATGGATTTCCTCATGCAGTCAGGAACCCATGGCATTGGACCAATCTTCAGCATCATTGTTTCAGTTTGTAGTACTGTAAAATAAATTGAGGTTTGGTAATTGGTATTTTAGTTTTGTGGTTTAGTTTGATGATAATTTCATGGTTTACTTACTGACAGTCTGTCCCTTACTTTTGCCACCAGCAGATATAATATCTGACAGTTTAAAATTGAATCATATTTCTCAAAGTATTTAGTAAGAGCTGGACCACACAGGGGTCACCTGGACATGAGACATTGTATTTATAGTATTCCCTTCAAAAGTAAAAGATGTGCTGGGGAAACAGGCAAACTGCTCAAAGTAAGTATTCCAGAACATAAGAATAATCTGAAAGAGGGTTTGATGGAGAAATCCAAATTAGCCAGCATGCATATGAAGAGAGACATTGCATAGGGAGGAAGGAAGTCGGGGTGGTATTAACATAGCCCAGTAGTATTTATGGAGAGTACAAGGAAGCTACTCATAGATTGTATGATAAATCCTGTCCAGTCAACCTAGCATAGAGATCTCGTGATTATGAATCCCACTCGTGTATGAAGAGGTCAGCCAGCTTCAGGACAGCTAATATTGTGTTTGGAGTGGGTCCATTTTTCATTATGGCTGCCTTTTTTATTCTTGGCCTCTTTAGTTTGAACTAGAGGTTATTCTTTTTATAATTTGAATTTTTATATGAAAATTTTATTTTCTAATGTCTTAGTTTTCTTGTTATTTTTATGGCATTTTATTTTTGACCTTAGGGTCTGGATTGAACATTGTGCAGGCTTATTTTTAGTGTGTGGTAGCACCCGTACAGGTTTTAGCTGATTCTGCATTTCGTAATGAATTGATAAATATCTTAGTTTTTGCAGACAGCTTCTGGGGAAAGAGCCTCCATACCCATTGGATAGGAGGTTGGTTGGGGCCCAGGTCTGGTGTGGACAATGTGAAGAAGATAAAATTTTTTACCCTACTGGGACTTGACCTCCAACCCCCCAGTCATCCAGCCCATGGCCATTCGCTATACTGACTACATTATCCTGTCTTGTACCATACTGTAGTGCAGGAAATTATTTTATTTGAGGTTACTTTCAGTGCTTTTCACTAGCCAAACTGTACACTGTCAAATGTGTAAATGAATGATGATCTGAAGGGGACTTGCAAGGAAGTGTTCATGAGGTAATCGCGGTATTATTGTGGCATTTGCCTGGATGGGGTGAGAAAAACAATGGAAAATCTCAGGATAGCCAATGTCCTGGCTGAGATTTAAACCAAGTGTCTCCCAAATACGAATCAACAACATTGTCAATGGGCCAACTTGTTCATTGACTGATAATCATTTTTCTTGTATTTCATTAATACATGCCACAGACCTATAGAAAAGAGTTAAATACTGTATATTTTAATATAACCTATGTGTTACTGTTATGTAAGCCTTCAACTTACTATAGAAAAAGAGTAGACTTCAGCTTCATGTAAAGTGAATGCTTCATTTGACCAAAATTAACATGGTAGATGCAATTTCAGCAATGAAATATATGACTGGACAGTCATGGTCTTCTTGTTGTGAGTGACTGCCCTACCCTTCATTCAAAATAGCATACAAAATGTGCGTGTGTGTATATATACAGAGATAATGACATTTCAGGTCACTCAGTGGGCTTACAGGGACATTGGCTTGGGACCTATATAATTACACAGCAGCATTATCTGTTAATTAGCTTCTTAATGTTTAACTCCTTCGGGCCCAATTACATTTTCCACCATGGACAACGGACTTTCCAATCACGCCATGTTTAAGCTGTTCATCCTTCACCACAAACATCAGAGACAGTATGCCTGCTAGAACTATATAATGTTTCTTAGAATCCACTTCATAAATAGGGACATATCAACGTTTGGGTGAAGTTGACAATGAAGGAAAATTAGAAGATATGCTAAGAAAAGGATGTTAACCTTCAGTGTTACAGGTGAAATGTGAAGTTACAGTTCAGAAGGACCTGACAGTGAGAATTATTAAAGAACTTAAAAAAAGGAAAAGGAAAAAGGCTTATAGTTTTGCAGGATTATAAATTGTCTTGATTGCTTTCTTCATCTTGGTTAAGCCATCACAGGTGATGGCTTTCCACATAGTGTATTATAATGGGGAAGAGAGAAGGCTTGAGCTGAGCGTTTCACTCTTTCTCCATCATGGAATATGAGGGATTCCACAGAATGGGAGGATGGTAAAAGATTGTGAGGTTTGAAGTTCTTATGGCAGTGATTATGAAAAGCCTATCTCTTGGGATGTAAAGCCAAGCAGATAAACTTTTACCAGATTATGTGGTGTCACATCCCAGAAGATGGCCCTCTCCAGATAAAAGACTGATTAAAAATTATTTTTATTTGTTAGTATACTATTTTATTAACCTTCAGTAAATTCATAAGATAATAAACACAAAAATGCATGGATATTTTACAGTTAAAATAATCAAAACAGATAATTTGGAGTATACATTATACAGAGGGATCTTAAAAATATAGAGACTTATAGGTGTGTAGTCAGATCCAGTACTGAGATTTAAGGTTCTCATAGCAGTGAATGTGAAGCATATGTTTATAGGATGTGATGGTTTTGTCAGGTCGTGTTGTTTGGTAAATAGGTACCATCTTTTTTCCTGAAGATTGAGGCAGCAGGTTTCTTTTAAGTTTTTTTACCTACCTACCAGACTACATGGCATCACATCCAAGAAGACCAGAATCTAAAAACATAGTATTGTGCATAGATGCTCCACCTTGAAAGTACTTTGTCATCTCTAAAATTCATTTTAACTTACTTTGTCACAAGAATAAAATTGATCAAGGAGGTACATTTTTATAGTTAAAGAGATGCATACCAAGCTATTAAATTGATGAGATAGCCCTGTAATCTGGCCATTTTAATAATCAGATAAATTTTTGTAATAATTTCAAATATTTATATTCCAGTGAATTTTTTAATGAAATTTGAGCTGTTCTCTACCCTTTACTGGGAAAAACATTACTAAATTTGACAAAACTAACTATGAAGCTGAGCCCTTCATGTGAAGCCACCAGTTGTGTAGGTACACAAGAACTTTTCAAAATTTTATGCAACCTGAATGTTCATTATCGTGTTCACTAAATCCTGTATCTGTTGGTATTTAGCAAAGGAATCATTAAATTGAATGTTATGACTGTAGGTCTGAATACATTAACAATGATTAATGTACTTGGTCCCATGAGGATTGTACCAATTAAGTTTCAGTGTACTCATTTTTAAAACAATATGGAGTAGATGTAGGTTATTACTATTATTATTTATTTTAACTGCATATTGGTTTAACCTGGTGGCAGTGGTACTACATGAGCATATTTTATATCTGTGACTATAATATTGCAGTCCCAGTGGGAATTAAAATCTTTAGATATTTAGCACATGCTTTATAGAGACAAACTAGTTTTTCTTATAGTAAATTCATTTAACAGTGTTTAACATTTGTTTAATTAGAGACTATGCTAGTATGTCACACATTGCATAGTAGAATCATTTCTAAGCAGTGTGTGGTTAGACGAACATGAGCTTCAAAAATTGGCATGAGATTGAGCACACCAGGCCATAACCTGGCCATCTGTGATGGAATTTCCTTGTATGAGGAATGTTGCAAAACATAATTATATATAAAGAAACTTTGTTCAGTGGTATGGCATTTGTAAAAATAAAATGCGTTATTGCAACATGACCGTAGGGATGGGTTGTAGCTAGACAATAGAATGTGTGGTACCAGTAACGTTGAACCAGAAACACATCATAATCAGAATTTCACTCTCTTCATATTATCGGCTAAAACAAAATTCTTTAATGAAATTTCATGACATTGATATAAAATTTGCAGTTCACTGTATCATAATGTGTTCCACTTATTCATAATTACATTCAGTACTCTGCACCGAAGAAAAATTTAAATTCCTTTTGAAAACTGATTTAATGTAAATTATTTTAAAGTGGGAACTACTTACAAAACACTTGTGGGTGATGTGCTCCAAATAATATTTCAATACAGTACTAAGATGACAAAAAGAAATATGTGTGTCACTGATCATGCTGTAGTCATGAGTGCAGAGCAAAAGAGATTCTGATATTTATTCCATAGGTATGTTCACCCTATTTTAATGGGTATTACTTCTTGGTAAAGCATTACACAGAGCTATTCAGAGCTGCAGTGCAATTCACTGAGTGGCTTTGGGAGATAAATTGGAGCTGATTTTTTTTTTTTTGCATATTTGCTGCTGCTATGTATTCATGATATTGTCAAGTTAATGTCACTTTATATTATTGTGGTTGTTGATTTTTACAAAATGGAAACATTTCTTTTTAAAATGACATGCCATTTGATCTCCATGTTTGCAATTCAGGGAAGAATGAAAGCAATTGTAGCAATTTTCAATTGTCTCTTCACAGTATACGAGTATTCTATTCATATGGTGGGGGACTTCTCACTGTACTGAATGTACATCATTTACTTGAAGTGTCCTCCTCCCTTCTGAATACAAAGCCTTGCAGCAACATTGAATTGAGCCCCTCACAGTAACTAGTTGTCTACAACAATTCTGAATGTTTGCAGCAGCACTTAATCAGATTGTTATAGTCATAAACTTTCATGGCATAAATGCTTCCTTTCAAGCATCCTTGCAAATAACATTCATGGGGATTCAGACTGAGAGAATATGTAGGCCAGGCAATCTGACCTCCATGATCAGTCCAGCTCCTCCAGGGAAATTGCCAGTAAGTCAGTTGCACACTTGATGTGCAAAATGGGGAGGGCCAGCATCAGGCTGAAAACAAGTGCTCTCGCTCACATCCTCCAATAAAACTGGAAACAGTGTACTTCACCGAGAAGATACTCTATTACATACAGTTTGATGCCCATACTTAAAAGTTGTGTGGATTGTATGCATCACTTCTAATAAATATTGCCTCAGCAATCCAGAGCAGATGGCACAGAAATTGAGGGGTGTACACACTCTTATATAGCGCCCATTGCAGGAACTGAGACAGATGTTTGTCCCTGGCTGCAACCTGTGTATTGGTTGTATGTAGAAATGATAGAAGTGATTCTTACACAGTATACCATACTGCATTTTGTGAAAGGTCTGTTGCAGAAGTCTGATGAGTGCCAGTTTATGGATTCTCACATTCGATATCTGACACATCCACCTGATCCTGCACATTGTATTTTCCATGGCCAGTATATGCATGCAGCATGAGAGTGACTGTTTCTGTCAGATTACTATGCACCATCTCAGACACATCACTAAAGTTGTTCCCTGTCCTGAGATCATTGATGATATTCCCTCAATGCAGCAAGAGAATCTGCATCACAAAGACCATGCATGGAATTTATATTTGAAAACTGCACATTAGTAAATTATGGTATTTTTTCTTGGTACCACTACTGCTTACCAAGTCTGGTAGCTGTTCTTCAGTTATCTACTTCCATGATCTCTGAGAATGAAGCCCCATCACACAATCACAATAATACAAAGCCACATCATTTCTAAAGATGTCATAACTCCAAACCAGAGGCAAATCTGGAGGAACTTTATTTGGAAAGTTTACTCTGTGCTAGTGTTGATTCATGATAATTTTGCAGAAGGTCCAGCATAAACAAGACAGTCACCTGAAGTCATCCAAGTTAGCTGCAGTAAACATGTAGGAGTTTTTTTCTACAGTGGTGTATTACCAGGTTATGACACAAGATGTTCAAAGGTTCTGTTTTGTCTTCTTCCTCTGTGTGAAATGTCTTTCATGCTCCATTAATTTCTCCAGAGCCTTAGACAAGTAAAAGACAATATCAATTTGTGCGGTAGCCACAGTTGCAAGTTTCATCTTACCAACTGTAGAACACTGATTGTTTGCTGTGCTTGGAGATAAATTCAGGCCTTTCAGCACCAACATATTACTCTCATTTTCTAGTAGGGTGTGTTATGCCTGTCCTCATATTTATTTTTAGTGTCTTAATTAGTCTCCATTTCAGCTCTGAATGCTCTTATATTACATGGTATTTGAGTTTGATTTTAGGTACCAGATTAAAAGAACAGAGGTTGAAAAGACAGTATAATATCTCTTCCAGAATCATTAGAATTCCATCGTAGAATATCTGGAATATTAATATAAATAGGAGGCCGGATGAACTGGTGTGGACGCTGTAGAGAATATATAACTCTCTTCGCCCCGCCAGGAATTGTAGCCTGGCTACCCAGTATATTATGCATGCTGCATTTCTAGTAGTGGAATAATGACATTCAGAGACATGTTCAAGTTGTATGATGGGGAAAGTCACTATTGTAAATCGTTTTCATGATGTAAATAAACTGGAAAGAAATATTTGTTCCAGATTTGTGAGAAAGTAATAACATTTCTAACATGATCTAGTAAGAGTGATTGATTTTAATGGAGGTGTCTTGTATGAGCAGAAGAAAGTTGTTAGATTATAGAGAAAGTACTGTGATTGTGTGATATATACTTATGTGTATTCCATCAGAGGAAGATTAACATTAGAGAATGTGTGTGAAGGAACTGAATCGATTTGTATGGAAATAATTGACATTCATGAGGATTTCTGTTGCATGTTATGCTTTACATGCATTTTAGAATCAGTATTCCACATGTGCTCATCCTTATACACACATGTTAATGTGATTCATTTGTAACAGGGGATGTTATTTTTTATAAACTTGCTTAGGATGCTATTACTAACCCTTTGAATACTGAATTTCTTCTACACAATATATAAAAACCAGTTTGTACTTCACAGGAAACACATTACATTTCCACTACCAATGTCAGCCAGTTAATGATGTTGGGAAAATGAGAACCATACAAAACAGATTCACTCTCAGCAGAATTCAGAGTTTTAGTATATTAAAGTAGGTGGTATGTATAGAACTACTGAGCTTTAAATGGTTGAAGTCAGTAAAATTCCAAAAGGGTAGAGGAAGGTCAGAAAGCCAATAATGAAAATAGTTTCCAAAGGGTTCTGGTGATGGATTATAACACTCAGATTTACTGGGTTCTTGGACTTTTTCCATGCAAGTCAGCAAGTGTCTTCCCCCACTCCCCACTTGAGGACAGAAAGAGATCAAGTTTCTGAAACGTTGTGTTTTCTATTTTTTAGAATACCGGATGATGGGAAAAGTCCAAAAACCCAGTAATTCCAATAATAGAAATTTACCCAAATGATACATTTTTCCATAACTTTTAGTACTGGTATGAATTTGGTCCCTTAAAATTCTTACTAAAAAAGTTTAAATTTTCATTACTCAAAGGAGGCAGATATATTTTGCAGTCATTAACATGACAGTCAGGATTCATGACTGCTGTACAAAGAATTTTGTGATACCTGCACAACCCATCCCTATGTGCATCAGCCACAGTAGCTGTACAGAACAAAGAATCTTGTAGTCACTAAGTAGTTGTAAATTGTTGCACTACAAAGAATGTGCCTCATAGAGATGTCAGCAGCAGTTCTGAGGTGAGACACATTTTGCGCATTGCTATCTTGTTCAGGCCCAACAGTTCCTCCAAACGTTGCACTTTGTAGCTGCAGTTTGTTTTGCATCGCCGCTGAAGCTTCTTCTCACGCCTTCCAAACTTGCTGACATGCTCTGAAATATTCCAACATTGCTTGTTCACTTGTCTCGCAGAGTTGTTCATGTCCTACTTATACTACACTGAGTACTTAATTACTAATAAAAGACTTTTTAGTGCCTTTTTCAATACATATAAAGATTGCCCTTAATCCTCTGATAGAACTTCTAAAATGTTTGACCACTGACTGTAACATTAAAAATAAATTCGATGAGCTATTGTCAGCTGTAGGGGCTGAGAATGGTCAGTCAGTATGCTAATGGATGAATAAGGACTGTAACTAGTTGAGGGCATTCTATAAAAAATACCAACAGCTGGAAATCAGTAGTCTCATGAAAGATCATATAGTTTTTCTTTTTAAGTGTGGGTTTTGTCATTTTATAATAAAACAAATCTCAAAAATATAGAAGGGGGCGTTGATGCCTCACTGCTTCACACAAGATATATATGTCACTATTCGTAACAGATCAAAGCTTCCCAACATCACATTGCAGTAATCAGAATTCCTGCCTTACATTAGCAGATCTGGGTTCAACTTGTGGAATGAAGTCTGGCTGTCATGACAGTATGATCATGATTTCCCTCATTCCCTTCAGGCAAATGATAGTATTGTGCCTTAAAATGAGTTACAACTTCTGTACTTCCCATTTAATTCAGGATCACATCACTATGTGGTTATTTTTAACCAATGCAACTGGAAAAGAGTCATTTTATGAATCACTTGGTAGATGCTCTGGTAATATTTTATATGTAAGGAAATGTGTTCAGTGATGTGGTGTTGTACATTACATTGTGTATTAATGTACAGAGCTTGCTATACTAACCGAGCTATAGATGTATAATTTGTGCCTGTATCTCTGTAGGTCTGTCAGCAACATGTTCATATCTGGTATAAATGAACATTATGACTTGTGTAGAGACACGTAAAATCACAGATAGTTTGAAAACGTTGTGTATTTGAAGCTAGTTTTCGCTTATAATGAGCCTTACTTGCAGATGTTGTGCCAAGAGGTATGAAACGGAACTTGTGTCGCAGGTCCTCAAAGTTGTTTGCAGTGATTGTCTGCAGCTGGAAGGAATGGACAGCTCCATTTCGCACCACCCAAGAGTGCAACTCTGCTTCATTTGCTTTAGCACCTGGTTGTTGGAAGGCATACTGCAGATGTAATAGTGACAGTTATCATGAGAAGGGAATTTGGGGTTACATGTAGGCTTGTTATACATGTGTGTTGATTGTATAATTGATCAAGATCAGAACTGAGTTAATACTGTTTGTTATTTCAAGTAATTGATTCAATTCAGCTAATTTATTAGACTAAATTTCATTTGAAATCATAAAATTTACCAAATGGTTTAAATTAATTTGGTGGCTTAGTACTTTTGCCTTGCTCACTGGTTGCAGCAAGGAGCAATAATTTCCTGAAGAATATAACTATGGAGATGGGGGGGGGGGAAATTAGACTTATTTTTATGTTTTTATACGTTGTTAATTCAGAGCTAATGATATACAAATCAATGCATAAAGGCATATCATATTTCACAAGTTACACAGCATGGGTCAGTGAAATTTGGTATGGGGGTTTATATTAAGGTCACAGTCTTCTCGGATGTGATGGTGTGTAGTCTGGTAGATAGATACCAGTGTTCTGGAGGAACCTTCTGCCTTCTTCTTCAGGGGTTCTTTTACCCTGAAGATGGAGGCAGCAAGTTCCTCCAAAATGTTTGTGTCAGACTGCATGCCATCATATCCAAGAAGGCTATAATCTTAATATCCACAAATGGTAGAACCTCAGATCTCAACTGTCATAATATATCACATGATGTTGAAGTAATTTTTCTCAATAAAGGGAGATGCTATGGCTGACACCTAACATAAAACATATAGCACATTAAGATGCAAAGATTTTTTGAAACATTTTTTATGATGAAAATTTTAATACATAGCTATTATAATGGTGGGGGCATGTGGTAGCATAGCTGGTTGAGGCACTATACTACAAGCTGGAAGGTTGCAGGTTGAAGTCCTGATGAGGTGGATTTCTTCAATTGACCTAGTCCTTTCAGCCGCTCTATGGCTCTGGGGTCGACTCTACCTCTAACAGAAATGAGTACCAGGAATCTTCCTGGGGTGTAAAGGGTGGCCGGTGCATATGGTTGACAACCTTGCCACCATATGTGAGCCAATTGTCTAATGTGGGACCCTCAATGACCTGTTATAGTAATAAGAAACAAAACGAAACTGTTATAATGTATTTCAGCATTCTGTTGCACCATATAGATCTGACTTTTGGAGCTTTTATGTTGTCTATGTTCACTATTCTTTCTTTGTATTCCTTTATTGGACATTGCATGTTTTGGCTTAACTGGCCATCTTCAGGTATACAGATTGTTATGGTTAAGGATTCTGCTGCTCAATGCAATGCAGTTTTCCTTCCTCCTATTGTAGTTCCTGGTTATTTTGGTTATGTGGGTTACCATCAGTTTTATTTGGATCTCCTTGGGTTGCACATGGTTTCTTTTGGTTTTGTTTGGTTTGTTGTGATTGCCTTGAATATTCTTGCTGCGGTGAGAGTTATGTTGTATGTTGGTTGGCCATCATGGTCATTCCTTGTGGGACTCACACTGGGATACGGTCAGGCAGGCCCATAAAATTAACAACATTATGACAAAGAAGATAAAAGAGCCAATATTTCATTTTTTAGCCTGTTACCTTTATTTTATTAGGCAGATATATAATATCACATCATTTTTTGCTTTCCTTATATATGTCCACCTCTTCCTCCTTCGTCTCAGTTAGTGGATATGCTGTAATTTTAATGTGAACATTCTGCCATTGGAGGCCATTTCACCTTTATAATCTTTTATTTTCTACTATCTGTATTCTGATAGTGACAGGAGAAACTGAAGTACTCAGAGAAAATCCGCCCCAGCGCCACTTTGTCCACCACACATCCCACTTGACCAGACCTGAGATCGAACCCGGGCTGCCACGGTGGGAAGCCAGGGACTAACTGCTTGAGCTATGGCACGGCCTAAAATGAATCTTAGATGAGGTATGAGGGTGTGGACTGGATTTAGGATGACTCCATATAATGTTCATTGACATGCTTATTTGAACACACAATGATCTATTTGGTTTCCCTACAAAGGAAGGAGCTTTTTTGTCCAACTGAATAAAAGAATGAAATGTTAAAATCTGTTCCTTTGAATACAATGCCAAGCAAGTTGTTCTCCTGACTGGGGGGATTGCATGTCTTTCCAATCACAAATAAGGAAATAGACCTATAAAATTATATCTCATTATTTCTAATATTTTATACACAAAACATGGTAAAGTAAGGTACAAACAACTAGTGAAATATAGTCATCATGCTAACTTAATTGATTGACACACCAATGTCAAATAAATCAAGAAAACAGTTTAGTATAATTACAACAGAATACAACCTGGAGAAACTCTGAAATGTTTCCAGCTCCCTGAGCCCGGTATGCAACTAGTTCTGCAGCTTTTGGTATGCACTGCAGTGATCCAGCCTCTGGCACATCCCCCCGTTGCACTGCTGATATTGCTGAAACAGCATCATGACACTAGTAGTTTTTTTTTAATTTAGTATGTTGAGATGTGTTTCAAGTAAAAGTTATAGGTCTAAATAAAATATACATTTTAAATTATAAATAAAGCATTTCTGTTATGAGCTTTTTGTGGTTGGGTGGGGGTGGGAAATCAGATAAAATTTTATTTGGGTATCATATGATGTATGATGTCAGTCAACCTCAAATTTTCCAGATTACTTCATGTGTAAACTTCGTACTTGCTTCCCTCCAACCCAGTGGCAGAATTCAGTAAATTTGCTTGCTACTCGTACGTTTGGAGACATGTCGTGGAACCAGTTGACAGATGCTAGGCTTCCAATATATGGCTATTTTATGCCCTTTGGACAGAACACATAAATGGTGTTGAGTAAAACTCAATAAGGGAATATCTTGACCAGGGAAACAGGGAGTAAGAGGAGAATGGGGTACGAGGGGATTATATATAGGTGTTCAGCATGCAAATGGTGTGAGTGTAAAGAAAATGAAAAGGATGAATACGAAAATTACAGAAAACAGTATGAGGGAAAGGAAAACTTGAGATTCTCTTTTGTACTCCATCAGGATGACAACTTGCCTGTCTGGACAGGAGAGTCATTTGGAGGGCTTTTGTGTATGTAGTAGTGAACCATTGAGAGAACCATCATCCTGTATCTGGATCTGCTTGAATTTGAAATAAATAAACATGAACATTAACATGAGTTACACGAAGAGAAAACAGGGAATTTATTGAGCAACTGAATAACTGTAAGCTCTTGAAGGAAGATCGTGAGGCATCATGTTATTAGTTAATTTGCTGGTTGGTTATACCTGTGATGGGGCACACAGGGCAGCACTGACCAAACTGCTTGGTTGGCATTGTGCACTGCAGCTCAGCTCGACTTGGACATCTGAACCTGTTGCACTCAATGTTTCCAGAGTTACATTGACACATGACACAGTCCATTGGACCAAATGGACCAATCACAGGATGCCATGAGGAGCCATCTGAATAATATCTGTCATGGAAAGAATAAAACATCAGAACTTTTCAAAATATGGCAATGCAATTGCTTATCCAGATACATTGATTTTTGTAACACTGATTTTGTATTTTGAGAAATACCACAATAAAAATTAAATATCTGAGTTACAAATTAGGTAAAGTTCATGTGCATATAAATGTATTGAACTACTATGGACAGTTGTTCATTCAGCATCCATCCTCTCATCCTTTGACTGGAAGTCTGTAAGGGAGAAGCTGTTCTGAACACATAACATGCATCATAATGCTGATAGAGATGAAATACTAGGGAAAGTCAGTAAATCACAAATGGAAGTAAAACAGCTGTAATGGACGTAATAGGGGTTCTATGTGTATCACTAGGCAGCAGCACAGTCCAGATTCATGACAGTCTAGGTAACATTTGCACATGTTTAGTCAAAATGGTGACCATGCTTGAGGAGTATACTATCAAAGAGCAACGTTCTCTTGTGCTTTTTCTGTTGGCAGAAGGCTCAATGAGAAGGATTTTCATAAAGAAATGTCTCCTGTTTATGGTTTGGAAGTGTTTGTTGCATAAAGCGGTTCTCAACTGGGCTGAGAAGGATGTTTGAAAGTCTCAGATGATTTCTGACTTGGTTGCCCTGTTGAAATTGTGACAGAAGCATCTGTGGAGCAGGTGGAAAAGTTGATTCAAAGTGAAAGGAGCATAACAGCAGACAGTACAGGAATTGCACTAGGGTGTTCCCATGGTTTAGCACACAGCATAATGCATGATCAGTTTAAGTTTCAGAAAGTGTGCACATGGTGGGTGTCCAAAGAACTGAAGAATTGAGAAAAATCAATTGATTACATAAGGTGTGCAAGAAAGAATGACCACATTTTAAGTAAGTTACTGTTAAAAAATACAAAGCCCAGAACCAAGAGACTTACTTTCCAGCAGAGATACAGTCTTTATCTCGGCGGTCCCGTGGGGCAGTTGGGCCCTTGAATGTCACAGGCGAGGAAAGGTCCCTGTTACCAGCAACTTCTGCAAACAAAAAAATAAAGGAAGGGCATTGGTTTGTTGACCAGTTGTTTGGATCTCAGGTTATATAACTGCAGCGGTTGTATGATGTTGAGTTCGTTACTATGAGTTAAGGACAGGAATAGATATTACTGAAATGTTTATGATTACACACATCACTGGTTGAATCCTATTTGTCCATAAAATCAATCAACAAATAATGGCAGAAATATGAGAGACAGAATCTAAAATACATTGTACTACATGCACTGGATAACAAATGGGTGTGGTTTCTGAAGACGATGGAGATTATATAATCAGGAGCTTCATGCTTTGTACACTCTTCTATATCAGGATCAGTGAAGGAAGGCAATATGGATAGGACTAGTAGCATGGGGACATGGAAGAGGGAAAGGACCACTTGAGAGATGAGAGCATGGATAGAAGGATATATAATGGATACAATAGATTGCATGAAAAGAGGTGTGAGATGGCCTTCTTTAATATGATAATATATTTTTTCGTTGCATAAAAAGCAGGACATATCTCCTATCTCCCTAATAATATTTTGTGAAGAGTTAAGGTTATCAAGCTCATATTTATGAAACTGTATCATGTAATACACATGCAGTGGAAAGAAAATGTCAGATATTTCAGATTCAAGAAAATCTGTCAAAAGGCATAAAGACAAGAATAGTCTTCTATGTAGTTAACATCATATATCATAATGGAGAAAACATTGATTACAGTGAAATAAAAAGTCTGTATCAACAACATATCATGAGAGAAAGAAAGAAAGACTGAAAGATTTTAATATTCAACAAATTTGAATACTGATAAAAGGTAAAAAGGTAAAGCTATTCCTGTAACAGGCTATGGAGGTCCATAGGGTTGTGAAATGTTGAGGCTCCAACATTGTCTAGACAGTCGGCTCACAGATGTTGGTGAGGTCAACCATACATGCCGGCTACCCATTACCCCAGGGAGATCTCTGGTAATAATTTCTGTTATAGGCTGAGTAGACACAAGGGCCATAGTGCAGCTAAAAGTGTTAGGTCAATTGAGAAATGTAGTGACCTCATGGGGAATTTAACCTATGACCTTCTGGCTTGTAGCATAGTGCCTCAACCAACTATGCAACCAAGAGCCTCATCTTAATACCGGTACTAAAAATTGATTCTGAAATAAAAGTCAGTTTTAAGTGACATTTAACTGATAATTATGACTGTAAGAGTTAAGTGGACATTGAATCTAAGCATGAAAAAAGACATATGCATTTTTCCCAAAGACTAAAAAAACATTTTTAAGTGTTATAATTTGTGGTTTCTATATTATTTTAGAAATTAAATGATACCTGAAGGGTGAAATAGTGGGCAGAAGAGAAGACCATTGCTAGGCAATGGCATGGTAAACACATCTGCACCAACTAATACACCCACAACATTAAAAGAACCCTATGTCACAGAGGGGGTGCATGGAAGTTAGTTGAGGACTGACTCCCTGCCATAGAAGTGGACTTACCACTAGTAGTCAGACCCCTCCTCTCATCAAAGAAAGGGCCCCATTTTAAACCACATAGAAGTCTGGAAAAAACAAAAATATGGTCATTGGTCCTGATGGGACCCAAAGCCAAGGCTGAATGTGCTGGTGAGTGTCAGCAGCAATTTACCTTACCAATCTACCAATTAGGAATTGTTAGTTGGCACTCACAGTTGGTGGTTAGCTATGGGCACAGAAGCAGAGGAATCTCTATTGTTAAAGCCATGACCAAGCAACGGCTAATGGTGACATAAGAGAGAGAACACTTAATGAGTGCCATAGTGATGTCTAGAACATCTAGATTAGTGAGTGTTATAATTGTTTGCAGTTACAAGTCATAAGTGTTCAATAAATTCAATTACTAATCCAAACTGTGTGTCTAGTCACTAACAGGTGACAGTATGCCCGAAGATGACTACATTAGACATTGAGACAACAGCAAAGAGGAAGAAAAAAGCATGGAAATATATCTGTTTAATAGTTGTGCTTTACAGTACTAATGTTATTTAATTGACAAAGAAGAGAGTGACTGCAATGAGATCAGTAAAGAATTGCACAAAAATGGATTAAGTGTAAAATGAAGACATCAGAACAGAACTGCATATATTTGAGTACTACATTGTAGACACAAATGTGTCCAACATTTGAGAAATTAATGATTGATCAGCTCAGAAAATTGCAGATAAATATCATCACAAAGGAAGGAGAGAATTGGGAATGTTAAGAGATGGCATTTTCTTGAACAACAGTCATTATAGGTGATGCACAAAAAGGCATCTGAGTGACTGTTGGCCATGCAGAAAAAGCACTACAATTGTGCAATATTGCTCAGTTGCTTCTGCTTGAACTGTGTATTCATGCCTTGTAAGTCAAAGAATATTATGCATTCAGTCATACTTCAATTTTATTTAAATGCATTATAAAACATGCATGTCTTGTGATATCATTTATCCTCTTGAAGAATTTATTGCAGTGTTCGAAGTTTAACAGCAAGAGAATTGTATCAGTAGTTAAGAGGGTAGAGTTTGTTAGTGATAGGATATCATATATAATACTAAAAGGTCACTGGTGTGATATCAGTGTTATGAATGTTCACGCCCCAACAGAAGATAAAATTGATGACATAAAGGATAGATTCTATGAAGAACTAGAACATGTATTTGATTTCCCGAAGTACCCTATGAAAATTTTGTTAGGAGATTTCAATGCCAAAGTAGGGAGGGAAGACATTTTCAAACCAACGATTGGGAATGAGAGTTTGCATGAAATTAGTAATGATAATGGAGTTAAAGTAGTAAACTTTGCCACATCAAAAAATCTTATTGTCAAAAGTACAATGTTCCCATATCATAACATCCATAAATTTACTTGGACATCTCCTGATGGGAAGATACACAATCAAATAGACCATATTTTGATAGATAGGAGACGGCACTCAAGTATACTTGATGTTCGATCATTCAGGGCAGCAGATAATGATACTGACCACTACCCGGTGGTGGCAAAGGTTAGGGAAAGGCTGGCAGTGAGCAAACAAACATCACACAGAGTTCATATGGAGAGGTTCAATCTCAAGAAATTAAATGAGGTAGAGGGTAAAGGGCAGTATTGTGTTGATATCAAACAGGTTTGCGGCTGTGGAAAACTTGGAAACTGAAGTGGATGTTAATAAAGATTGGGAAACTATTAGAGAGAATATAAAAAGTCTGCCAAAGAGAGGCTACGTTATTATGAACCGAAGAAGCATAAGCCATGGTTTGATGAAGGATGCTCAANGGAATAAATGACTTTAAGAGGGGTTGCCAGCCTAGCAGAAACTTAGTGAAGGATGAGAATGGTGATCTGCCTGCAGATTCCCACAACATTTTGAATAGGTGGAGAAACTACTTCTCTCATTTATTAAATGTACATAGGGTCAGTGATGTTAGGCAGACAGAAATCCATACAGCTGAGCCTTTAGTACCTGATCCTAGCCCTTTTGAGGTTAAAAGTGCTATTGCAAAATTGAAATGGTATAAATCACCAGGTAGTGATCAAATTCCGGCGGAACTTATTCAAGCAGGAGGCGAAATATTACGTTCTAAGATCCACAATCTAATTACTTCTATTTGGCATAAGGAAAAGTTGCCTGATCAGTGGAAGGAGTCTATTATTGTACCAGTTCACAAGAAGAGTGATAAAACTGACTGTAGTAATTATTGAGGGATATCACTGCTATCAACTTCATACAAAATTTTATCCAATATTCTTCACTCAAGGTTAAGTCCATATATAGATGAAATTATTGGGGATCATCAGTGTGGGTTTCAACATAACAGATTGACTACAGATCAGATCTTTTGCATTCGTCAGATGTTGGAGAAAAAATGGGAGTACGATGAGACAGTACATCAGCTAATCATAGACTTCAAGAAAGCCCATGGTTCAGTTAGAAGGGAAGTATTGTACAGCATTCTGATAGAGTTTGGGATATCCATGAAACTAGTTATATTGATTAAAATGTGTTTAAATGAAACGTATAGTAAAGTCCATGTAGGTAAACATTTGTCTGATAAATTTCCTATCCAGAATGGTCTACAATAAATAGATGCTTTGTCACCACTCCTTTTCACCTTTGCTATAGAATGTGCCATTAGGAAGGTCCAGGGAAACCAGGTGGGACTGAAATTAAACAGGACACATCAGCTGTTGGTCTATGCTGATGATGTGAATCTACTGGGTGATAATGTAGATACCTTAAAGAAAAACACACAAACTTTAATTGACACAAGTAAAGAGGTTGGTCTAGAAGTAAACACTGAGAAAATTAAGTATATGTTGCTGTCTCGTCACCAAAATGCAGGCAAAATCATGATATAAAGATAGGAAACAGATGTTTTGAAAATGTGGCACAATTCAGATATTTGGGGACAACGATAACAGATCAAAACCTGATTAAGGAGGAAATTAAGAGGCGATTGAACTCGGGTAATGCTTGCTACCATTAAGTCCAGAACCTTTTGTCTTCTCGTCTGCTGTCCAAAAACATAAAAATTGAAATATACAAAACTATAATTTTGCCTGTGGTCCTGTATGTGTGTGAAACTTGGTCTCTGACATTAAGGGAGGAATATAGAGGGTGTTTGAGAACAGGGTGTTGAGGAGATTATTTGGACCAAAGAGAGATGAAGTAAGAGGAGGCTGGAAAAACTGCACAATGAGGAGCTTCATAACTTGTACTCTTCTTCAAGTATAATTAGAATGATCAAGTCAAGGAGGATGAGGTGGGCACGGCATGTAACACAAATGGGGGAGACGAGGAATGCATATAGGATATTGGTGGGAAAGCCAGAAGCAAAGAGACCACTGGGAAGACCAAGGCATAGGTGGGTGGGCAATATTAAAATGGATCTTAGAGAGATAGGATGGGATCGTATTGATTGGATTGATCTGGCTCAGGATAGGGACCAGTGGAGGGCTCTTGTGAACACGGTAATGATCCTTCAGGTTCCATACAATTCTGGGAAATTCTTGAGTAGCTGCAGAATTGGCGGCTCCTCCAGAAGGGCTCAGCTCCATGAGTAAGTAAGTTCAAAGTTTAACATCACATGCCTCACCCCTCAAATTTGGAAAATTTATTCATTAGCCCACTTACCTACCTAACTACTTAGCCAATTGAATAATTAAGCTTTGTACAGAGTATGAAGCTTGGATCCTGACCCTTCAATTTTAAAGAATGTAGTAAAATATCACAGAACAACACAACTATCTAATGTTTATTTGTTGTAACTGCACTGACCTGAACACAGAGGGCAGCAATTATCAGGGCTCTGAATTGGTTCATGGCAACTCAGCTCTTGGCATGTCTGTACTTCACATAGCACAAGTCCTTCCTGACAAAAAATAGAAAGATGAACAGTGTAGAATTGGATTTTAAGTCACTGGTGTCACCAAAATTTATTAACAACTCACCTGCTTCAGTCTAGACTAATTTTACTTTTATAACTCATTTAGAAATCAACATTAATAAATATTTCCTTGTCATCTCTATGCAGTTGAAAAATATCATTATCTGAAAGCAGCAGAGAATTTTATAAAAGTAAAAGATCAAGATTTTTAGTTTAAGAGAAAACTTGTTCTCAGCCCTTCCACATTTTTATTTAATTTATCTTAACTCTGTGAGGCAGCTTCATGACCCCACAGGTGTAAAGTCACAAGACAGCTATGGAATATTGTCCTCAGGATGTCTGAGTGGGTGAATGATATTCAGTAATCTGTGGGGATCTTGTTTTGTCGTTACTTCAATGACAACCCACTTCTTTGGAGCAGTTTTGTAGGTCCTGAAAAGGACCGTTGGTTGGTGAGATGCTTGACCGGTGAGGTAGCGCAGCGCACGCCGGTAGGAAGGGATGTTGGTTGCGGTGGATGTTGACTGGCTGCAGTGCGGCCATTGCTGGAGGTCGCTTGATCGCAGTGTGGCAGTTGCTGGAGGTTGCTTGATCGCAGTGCAGCAGATGGTGGGGGTTGCTTGATCGCCTTGCGGCAGCTGCTGGTGGAAGTCTGGTCGTCAAGCACGGTCGCTGGAGTGGAGAGGCAGTAGCTACGCCAGATGCCCAGTGAGTCGGGCATGACCGCCGGCTAGCTGAGGCAGCCCAGTGAGTCGGGCATGCTGTCGGAGTGGCGAGGTGGCCATTCCTGGCGCAGTGCAGAGCCAAAGACTCTGAAGACCGAGCGCTGAGGACGAAGAGTGCTGGCTGATGTTGACTGATCGTAGACTGACCATTGACTGATGATCGTAGACTGACTACTTGCGAGCTTGTGCTCCGCCTTTTATACAGTGCATGATGGCGGAGCGAAAATTTGCTGAGCGCTGGTTGGCTAGCGCGCATAATGATGTGGATGCGGGCTAGCAGCAAGCGCTGTATAAATGCGAACGTTGGATGCAATTTGATTGGTTAGCATGTGTGCTGGTGCTGTGATAATATGTGGGATGTTCTCACAAATCAATAAACTGATAAATATTCCTCGATTAAATAAATCAGTTATTTATACATATAGTACTATATTTTAGAAAATAAATTCATAATTCTCTTTAATTCATTTAATAAATTATAGGTTATCCTGAAATGGATGAGAATCTTCTGGTGTTTTGGACAATTTGGTTACAGTTTCTTTCTGACCACGTTATCATTTGGTTTGTGATGTTCTTGCCTTAACTGTTGTTTGACAAATAACATTGCATCCTGGTCCATTCAGAATTTTCCTGAATGTAACTCTGTCATGAGATGAGAAATATTCTCATCTAACAGTGCATTTCTGTGTTCAATAGCTATGTTGTTCATCAATCTGAAGGCCTTATGGCTTTTACTGAACTATCTGCAGGAAGTTACCATTGTATCTTTCATATATTCCATTTAATAGAAAGCATCTGATACAGCATGGAAACCTAAGCAATAATTTATTTCATTCCATTCGAAATGGTTTGGCTATTCACCTATCCTCAGTAGCAACAGCATCTTTCAGTATGTGGTTGCAACAGGATGTACTGCAATGGAGCAGGATGCAACAGAAGAATACATACCTTGTCCAGCTGCACGTATATTTGAGTTCAGGTGTTTCTGTCTGACTTCTGCCTGATTTCTAGATAATTTAGTTATGTTTTCATAGATGTGAGGAATTTTGAATGCCAGATGCTAATTGTAGGCTGTTATGCACCTGTCACAGTTAACCAATAATTCAGACAACTTTCCTACAGTTGCTGTTTGCATGCAGTGACCAGTAGAGGGTCATTTAATGACTTTTTTTAATCTCTCATCTCTTAAAAGACAACAAATTCTTGTGTCGCATGCCAAAGTCTTGGCATTAGTTGTCTCTATATGTAGTCTTCATGTCATCTTCCCATTGAAAATGACAAGCAGTTATTTTACAGTATTGATATAGGGTATAGTACATCTGTTAAGTTGAAGTTCATCCAGGGTGCTTTCTGTATTCTAGAGAAATAAATTGCCAAATTTTTCACTTCATTGAACTTCATGTAAAAGTGCTCATACAATGTCTCCACAGCAGTGAGGCCACACTATGTTTTGCTGAGTGCAAGACATTCCTGCTTCTGTGCCACATACCATCAACAAACATAGCGAGAGAATTACAAGTGTAGATGTAGCACTATTTATCTACAAACTGTATAATACTGTGGCAAGGTCGGATCCTTGAGACATCTCTGGGTGTAGACAATTCATCTGTGATGTACAATTTAAACTTAAAATTTTTAGCAGAAACGAAGACACAATTAACTCAGATATTTTTGCCGAGAATTCTAATTCTGACAGTTGACGGACTAGGCCAGATTACCATGTTATATAAAAGACTTTTTTGTCATCCAAGAATATAGAAGCCCTCGACATCTTACTGTTGAAGCCAAGAACCATGTGTGGACTGAATTGAAATAGCTCAGAATAGGTTCAAATGACATAACCCTATGATCCTGCTGAGTAACATTTATGCCCCATAAGAGCATATTATTAGTAGCATAACTAAAACTATTCAAGGATGATATCTTATTTCCTTAGTTTATTCGTTAGTTGGTAAATTTGCTAATTCATTATTTAGTTATTTAGTTAATTGGTCAAATATGTGGTTACATAGATTATGGGTTAATTAGCAAGCTTCAGTCAACTGTATTAGTTTATTGGTTAGTATGTATGTTGATTAATTTATTTGACTAGTTACCTTGTCGACTGACTACTCAAATAATGTATTGATTAGTTCGTTCTTAAAGTAGTCAGCAGTTACCTGGCATCTGCACTGAACACATTGGTTAGGGCTGTTTACTTTCATTCCGGTTGAGTTGGATGGGAAATTCTGCCCGTCCTTGTAGATGCGTCCATTGTGGATGCACGCCACAACGTCTGGTGACACTGGCCTGTGGATGGACATCCGTGACTCTGCAACAGTAGTCTTACCAATTTTCATATACAGTTATGAATACTCTAACAGATAATTTCAAATGCCAGAAAGGGCAGCACATAGCCTCTCCTGTCGGATCCATGTCTCCTACTTTAATGTTCCTCTTAACTTGGTGATTGTTACAGTGCGTGTCAGAAAATATCCACAAAATGTCCATATTTTTTCTTTGAAAAAGTTTCCACTACTGAATGTGAACACAAAGTCCAAGCCTGGGACCTCTCTATTTTTGTAGCGACTTATTGGGCTTCAGCATTCAATTGTCTTTCACAGCTATTGGCATCAACATAGCCACTCTGCTTATCATATCCACCAAAGAAGAGCAGCTTGCAGAGATTTTACTTTTGTGGGCTGAAGATGTAAGACTGCAGACATTAATCAAAGACTCTTAGCAGAGCATTCTGACAATATTTTGCGCTTCGATAGCATGGGCGTCCTCATAGTCCTTCGTCAGTGATGTTTGTCCAGCCATTTTTTAATATGCCAGTCGGTTTGTGCATGTTTCGCTGCGGCAAGACGTGGTGAGGAGAAACAGAATGGTGAAGGTCAAGCAAGTCATTACAACAACAGTTCCGTGCTTATGGATCTGTGTGCATTCAACAGTGGTACCATTTGCAGAAAAAAATTATGGACACATCTCGGATATTTTCTGACTTTCCTTCATGCAAACATAAGGCCTCCCTTTTGTCTCGGCCCCAAAACAAGAAGCCATATAGACGTAAAGGCTTGGAACATATTTACTTCAATTGATGGCTGATTGCTGATGACTGAGTCATTATGATATAACTGTTTCACCTGTAATTGAGTCCCCCAAAGAACCCAACGTTCAGACCACTGACAGAGGGAGGAGGGGTGGAAGCCATTAAGTTTGCCCTCCGTTTTATTCGGTTAGTATAGTCTGTGTCACTGCAGCACAATGAAGGCCTGATATTGTTTTCTTGTGGCTTTGCTGTGTTAACATACCACATGTTTGTTCCAAGTTAGGTTCCACAAAACACCACACAGTCAAAGTTGAGAAATTGTTAGAGACATCTGCTATTTTATGAAATGAGAGGCACTAAAGCCTCAGACCTGGACAGATCCACTGGATAAACGAACTTGTACTCTTCCCCAAGTATAATTAGAATGATCAAGACAAGGAGGATGAGGTGGGTAGGGCATGTAGCACGAATGATGGAGAATAGGAATGCATATAGGATATTGGTGGGAAAGCAGAAGGAAAGAGACCACTGGGAACACCAAGGTGTAGGTGGGTGGACAATATTAAAATGGATCTTAGAGAGATAGGATAGGATGGTAGGATAGGATTGGATTGATTTGGCTCAGGATAGGGACCAGTGGAGGGCTCTTGTGAAGACGGTAATGAACCTTCGGGTTCCATAAGATGCTGGGAAATTCTTGAGTAGCTGTAGAATTGGCGGCTCCTCAAGAAGGGCTCAGCTCCATGAGTAAGTAAGTAAGTAAATAAGTAAGAAGCAAGTAGTAAAGATAAAGCGACTGTAAAAAAAATGCAACAAGAGCATAAAAGAGTGGCAGAAGCTACTGGGGGTGTCTGAATGGACAATTGGGAGATTTCTGAAAGGTCGAGTAGATGACAAGGCGCAGAATGCTTCATTTGGAATGCCCGGAAAGAACCAGATCGTCCATTAGCGAATAACTTAAATAGACTCAGAGAGAGCATTGATTATGCAGGAAACTGTTCGAGTCTCGGAATAATTATTACGGACATCAATTTTAGGGTGACGAAGACACAGGTGGGGGGGGGGTCTGTCTTATTGAAAGGAACAATATACGATTCATGCATCATACATCATTGAACTCGGAAAGCACAAAGCCAAAGGATGCCCAATCATGTTCGAAAACGAGCCTTACATTCGTAGCAGCCATATCACTCCGAAAAATTGGACTGACGACAATACTTCGGATCGCTAGCGCCAACATCGGAAGGCCAGAGATTTATCACTGTCCATAACTGAGGAAACTCAGGCTTCATTTGAAAAGCACTTCTCATATATAAACCTAGGCAGAAAGAAAGCCTGATACTATCATAATAATGTACCATCGATGAGAAATGTGTATCATGTTTATGAAAGTGGAGCGAGCTTGGAATTCAGTGCCACGATATAGAAAGGGAAGCCAATAGTAATACATGCTTTCTTTATACAAGAACTAAGCTACAGAAAGTAGCCATTTGCACAAGTCACCGAGCCTGCGGATTTTGAAATAAGAATTCGTGTGTTGGGCCTACTGTCGCTACGGCTTTCTGCCTTCTGGGTTTAGCACTATGCTACTGGAGGTCCACTTGCTAGAGACCCTGCTACTCTCTCGACCAAGGGGTGGCTTCACCATGATGCAACATCAGTAGATGTGTGCGACTATTTGCCTCACGTAAGTGGGATAGACTTACGTGTTTATGAGATCGATTCGAGAGACTGAGAGAGGAGAAGGATCAGCAATGAGAGATCAGTACACAAGGTTTGTCGAGGGGTGAAGACAATAGACACAAAGACAATGGAGTGTGGTTTTATTTTTAGGTCTTGTACATAAAATCGTGATATAAAACGTAATTGTATTGGTAAGGGTGATTGTGATGGGTTAGAGTCCTAGACCCATTTCCCCAAGGGCCTGAAACCTTTCATGACATCGAAAATCCACGAGTTAGAACTCTCTCGAATCACTGCAATGGCTGCCAATGTCATACCGAGCGACACTCTTGAGGTGAGCAACCAGTGATGGTCACTGCAGTGGGTAAATTATGAGTCATATCGTTTGTACAAAATTATAAATATGAGCAATGTTGGCAGGAGATAAAAATTTATACATAATTTTGCATAACGACATGCCATTCTGATACCAGCAGAACTGTAAGATGAGCAACCTGGCTACAATCTTCGTCCTCTTTCATGGTGAGCACTGTGACTCCAAAGATGAAATGTTATCAGAATTCAAGCAGTCTTTCGCTAGCAAGTTAGGGCATATGAGAGCAAAGTCATTTATCACAAGTGTCTCAGAAATAGAATGCTGTCTCAGTGCTCTGTCTCAGGCAGTGACAGAGAAAGCAGAGTCTGAGATCAGAACATGAACTATTGTATTCCGAATTGTGTACGGTGCATATTTATGTATAATATATGTTAGTGTAAAGTTAGGAGCTTCATAACTTGTACTCTTCTCCAAGTATAATTAGAATGATCAAATGAAGGAGGATGAGGTGGGCAGGGCATGTAGCACGAATGGTGAAGACGAGGAATGCATATAAGATATTGGTGGGAAAACCACAAGGAAGGAGACCACTAGGAAGATCACGGCGTAGGTGGATGGACAATATTAAAATGGATCTTAGAGAGATAGGATGGGATGGTATGGATTAGATTGATCAGGCTCAGGATAGGGACTAGTGGAGGGCTCTTGTGAAGACGGTAATGAACCTTCGGGTTCCATTAAATGCTGGAAAATTCTTGAGTAGCTGCAGAATTGGCGACTTAGCCCGCTTGAAACTGAGATCGTGGTTTCGAATCCCACTGAAGGCACGGATGTCTGTGTGTGCGTTTATTCTGTGTGTAGATAGCTGCTTTGCGACTGACTAATCCCCATCCAAGGAGTCCTACCGACTGTGTGTAGGATCAAGAAACTGAAAAAGCGGTCAAGGTCCAACAAACGACTGTAGAGTCATAGAAAGACAGAAAGTGTAAATACAAGTGGATGTTAGAGCATTGCAGCGATAGAATGGACGAGGAATGTAGGGATTTTATGTCTGTAGTAGGAGTTCAGGTAGAACATGCACTGACAGGGCCGAACGTGATTATGATGTAAGTTTTATTAGTTATTTTATTAGTTTGACTTCTTCTGCTTCTAATTTTCTTATTATACCCTTCTGGCCTCTTTTCCATCAAAATTATTCTAGTACTATGGATCTTACAGACAGTTGGCATGACTCCTCTGACGGGTGATTAGCCTTTATTTTGACTTCTAATATAATTAATTCAGTATACTATTACTTACATTATACTTGGCTTGAAGTCCGAACTGGGTGATTGAACGTTGCTACCTGTGAAATAAGAAATTTCGCCACATGTGCAACTAGCTGTCCCGTAAAGTAACTGTAATCAACCGAAGGCCGAAACTTTTCCTTCTATTGACTTGGGAACAAGTTGAACTCACCCGTACAGATTCTGCAGCACTCCGAGGAATCCTCTCTGCTGTTACACCTGACGGGACACTCCCTGCTGGAACAGTTCATCCTACCTCCCTGCAAAAACAAAGAAGGCCACGAACTGAATAAAAGTATAGCTATCCCTGTGACAGGTCATGGAGGCCCGTAGGGTTGTGGAACGTCGAGGCTCCCACACTGTTTAGAAACTCAGCACATAGATGGCGGTAAGGTTGTCAGCTTTACGCGCCGGGCGCCATTTACCCCAAGGAAAATTCCTGATACTCATTTCTGTTAGAAGCTGAGTCCACCCCATGGCCATAGTCCTGGCTGGAAGGATTTGGTAAATTGAAAATCCAATGACCTCATCGGGATTCGAACCCGCAAACTTCGGCTTGCAGCCTAATCCACGTTACCGAATGCCCTCAATATTATTCCTAGCCTTTTTTAGGCATTTAAGCGTGATGGTATATGAAATAATTTATCATGCCCGTACGTCTTGCAAAGATCAAGGAAACTTTAAGACGGCTCCACGAATTAATGATTGGCGCAGGGGTCAGCAGCGAGATTCCATGCCCCCCTTCCTAACCAGTCGGCCTGGCAGGCCACGGAACTCTGTAAACGGGAGAGCGAGGAAGTAACAACAAGAAAAGGCGAAATAAAATAACCAACTGCTGGACTGCTGTTGAGAAGCAGTGTGCAAATATAGCATTTATGAGACTTGGGCAGGATGGGAGGATCATATTCGAACTGGATGTTTGAGAAGTACTTACCGGTTCTACAGGCGGACTACTGACATACCTGGTAACACTGACAAGTGACGCAGAACACTGTCCCCTGTGTCTCCAGGCGCGGATGCCACCTCTCTCCGACGTCGTACTCCGCACCGCCGAAACGGCATTTGATCGGCGGTTCCTCGCTTTGGGTCCAATCTGCGGACATGAGAAATTGTTTCTTGTAATTATCGCATTCAGAAAATATCTTCATGTCCCAGTTATTTGAAATCGCTTTTCTAAACGTTCCTGGTCGCACAAGATCCATTCTCTCTGTGAACATGTCTCAATGAAGCTCGTACTAGAAACAAAAGGTCTGGATGTTTATATTTTCAACATACGTTCCTTGTAATTTTGTATATTCCAGCAGCGTTTATGTTCTTTTGGTACAGGCAAATAACTATTAAAACAAATTACACAACACAAAAAAAAAACTCCATGGTTTTAGTCCGCAAGCGAACTGTATGACCGAGCGACCGCCGCTTGTCGGAGAAGTTAGTGCCAACTTTAGCGGGTAGATGGTGTCGCGTGGTCAGCTCAACGAATACCCACGGCCGTTAATCTCGGATTTTTTAGACCGGAGCCGCTATTTCCTTGAAGTAGCTCCTCAGTTGTCCTCACGAGTTTGAGTGGGCCCCGTTCCAGACCCACTACTTCTAAGAAAATCTGGTAGCACGGAGCAAGGAATTGTGTTTTTTATGTATTTCTTTAAATAGACTTTTCTCCATATGAAAATATTTCAAATAATTTGTAGATAGGAATATTAATGACATGTATATCTTATAAGTTATTATTATTATTATTATTTACACATTCTTGTACGGTGAGAAATGTTCCAAAAAACATAACATTTAAATCACAGGGCTCAGAACTCTATATGCGAGGCTCATGTATCTGCCAATTGGCCTTTCTGTACCGTCCCGTGATTCTGATCCAAACATCAGCATCCTGGATACACTTTGTCCCGTCTCTTAAAAATATATGCAGACATCACGCGAACTTCTAAGGAATCATGCCGTTACAAACACATGTCCTACTCTGAGAGACGTCTTGAAACCTTACTCCTCTTACTATATAAATAAACAGTAAACGTCCTTCATGTGTAACTAGTTTCATAAGTCTTTTATACACAATATAATTCCGTCAATAATGCAACTATTTCTATTACTGCTTCACTTCACAATATATTTCGGCCCCAAACGGCGATTATCAGGTTTCTCAGCTATGGCAAAACTGTTACACTGTATAGAATGTCCACTTTTTACACATCAGATATGACTGCGATATTTCATGATTTAAAATAGTGGATGTTATGTTTAATCATGAAATATTGCAGTCATATGTGGTGTGAAAAACTGGTCATTCTATACAGTTCAACAGTTTTGCCATAGCTGAGACACCTTATGATGGCCTAGAAATTGTTGCATTATTAACGGAATTATATTATGTATAAAATATATTAATGCAACAGGTTGCTTAAATACAATATACAATAGGAGTAAGTAAAAGTTTTGCCTCTACATGTTTCGGCCATCATTGGCTATCATCAGAAGACACATCCAGCGATATAAAGAACTGCTTTACATACACTGTTGCTAGAGTGTAAGTTGTAGTAACATTACGGAACTTGTAGTGGTTGTACATATTAAGTCTAAGTAGTTATGACAGTTAAAAATAAATTGTGTATATCAAGAATATTCGGGTAAAATTATTTAAAATTCAGTTTAAAATCTTGTTGAATATATAGAAGAACTTTTTTTTATTGCTAGTGGGTGGGACTAAGTCCCTTACACTGCGGCAACTTCTGGCCTATTGTACCAGCCTCAGATGATAGGTGAGGGTGATTGTGGAGCAATTGGTGGCAGGGGAAACCGAAGTACTAGGAGAAAACCTGCCCCAGCGCCACTTTGTCCACCATAAATCCCACTTGACCAGACCCGGGATCGAACCCTGGCCGCCGCAGTGGGAAGCCAGCGACTAACCGCTTGAGCTATGGCGCGGCCCTAGAAGAACTTAGTAATGTTCTTTGTTTCTGTTCTTGGTTACATAGAAGTTGTGTCGACTGTTGTATTGCGGGCCGTATGTCCGCCTGTGTGATGTATGTAGTCCACTGAAATATGTGGCACATTTCCTAGTAGTATGAGTGGTTTTAAAAATTGACATTTGTGTACGAAATACTTGAATAATTGTCTTTTTTAGTAACGTTTCTTTTTGACAAGAAAGGAAACTCGTATATAGCGCACACACTCCCACCATTCCCAGTTATCTGTCTCAAACAAATGCAAGAAAGCAGCGAGAAACAGGCAATGAACGCAGGGTGCTTAACAAAGGTTGGGGGGAAAATATCTGATCACCGATGGAGGATCTATCACGGTGACAGTCTTCGTTTTGAGATTCTTTATTGTTAAACGCCATTTTATTTCAAAACATACCAATTTGTCTCTGAATGAGGGACAAGAAACTCCAAAGATTTGGCGTTGGAATTGAAAAAATACGGCAGAGTAATTTTGCGTCATTACAGATGCAAGACGCAGCGACTTAGCCGTATATAACAGGGCTAAGCAGACCATTTTCGGACAGTCAATATGTCAGACAGCGTATGATGGATGTAGTTGAAGCAGTTTGCACAGAAAATAGAGCACCGTCTGAAAATATATTTTGTCCAGAAGAACTACTGTAGGCCCCGTGGAAGAAATGAATAATTATATGCAGACACAGTCGTATGTAACAGTTCAGGCGTGTGTTTACTTCTTTGTAACGTTGGATGACTGTAGGCCTGCTAACTAAGTGATACAGCTCAATTATTTACATTTATACAAAGTGTGAATAGTATAAGGGGTGGGCCTTCTTGGCCCTTGCACCGCGACCACAGTGATCTATTGTGCCTAAGTGTGAATAGTAAGTTTGACGTCATTACTGAAACACTTTATATGGAAACTATGAAAGTCGAAACAACTGGAGAGAAATTATGTGAAAAGCTTTAAAAAAATCTAGAATATATAATTAAATAAGTCAATCGGTGTAATCACAGGCGGATCACTGAATCTGACAGGTAGACATCTACAAAATCTCTAAAGGTTACATAATACTGTATATTAAACTTGGTGTTTTGGGACATTTTGCTTTTCACTGTAATATTCGCCAGGAGGGAGTCTACAGAACTGTGTATATTATGAATCATGTGACAAATTATATGCATACGAACTTGTCAGTTACATACTAGCAAAATACAAATCATGGACTGTTTATATATCTGTGGCACAATATCTTGAATGCTGAAGGCACTAAAGTATCACACCATTCCGAGCCTGAGTCTAGAATCAAACGTGGACCTTCAAGATGGAAGGCTAATGTAGCTGGACGTGATGGATAAAGGTATACTGTTCCAGAAACTGAAAGATGAAAACTGGAAAAGCGATCTGACACTCCTGAAAGGTGTTTTGCAAGACCTAAAGAAACTAAATGCGATGTTTCATAGGAAAGACCTAGTTATACACGAGGGCTCAGGATAGGGACCAGTGGAGGGCTCTTGTGAACACGGTAATGAACATACGGGTTCCATAAAATGCTGGGAAATTCTTGAGTAGCTGCAGAATTGGCGGCTCTTCCAGAAAGGCTCAGCTCCATGAGTAAGTAAGTAAGTATGTACAACGGTACATTATATCAAAACAAAACTGCTTTTATTTTCAGAGCACGTCAAAGAACGTTAATTTACACATTTCTCTGCTCTACGAAGAACACACACGAGTTCTAAGTAATTTCTGTTAGAGGCCGAGTCGACCCCAGAGCCATAGTGCGATCAATTGAAAAATCCAATGACATCGGGCATCGAACCCACGATTTTCCGGCTTGTAGCATAGTGTCTTACGTACTGCTTCAAATGCCTGTATTCATTGTTCAAGTGTCAAATTTAATTCTTGCCTGAATTTCTTGATCTAAGGCTGTTTCAGCCTGTCTCTTCCTACAGAAGCAGCCGGTGCACGTGCTGCTTACCAACTTTGGTTGCCCTGCGTTCACCATAAGCTGCAGTTCTTTATTTTTTATTACATGTCATCTGTACAATAACATTCTTAGCAAAGAGTTCTAGAGGCGATTTAATAACATCAAGAAAACGTCAAACAAGAATAAATTCTAGACCTTGTACTTCTCCTTTAGTGCCGAAAAAGTTCCGGAAGATACCACGTATTACCTGCACTGTTGCCCTTTGAAACATCAACATTTATATCAAACATTGGAAGGTCTGTCAGCAGCTACAGACTGGACCGCGTGTGGCATTATTTTGGTAGGTACTGATAATGAGTCGTGTAATTTACATTGACATAAGTCTTTAATAATTACGATTATCCAAAATAATTATTTCTTCCTTACTATACTACGATCCCTTTTCCGCCCTCCCTAAGCACATGTAACTTCAGCGGAAAAGTTTGCTGTCTCTGCGCTAGATGAATATGAGCTGAGAGCTTCACGTTTTGGCCGCCTATCCCTGGGAAGGAACATGATACTATTGGTTGGGAAGGTCTCAGAACGTGTCCGACATAGTGGCGAAGAGAAAAGTTCCAGAAATTTCTACGACTCGAAAGCTAGCCTCTAGCACAACATTCTAGATTCAGAAACTAGCAACAGCACAGAGTAAGAGCCGAGCGCAGTTCTGTAGTGCTTTATATTGCTTGATATAGGCTCATTTCTTCGCACGAACGAGGAGCAACAACACGATACTCGGCAACGTATGAATATTTTATCCACCCGTTTTCGTCATATGTCTCATGCACTGCAGGTCTCGAATAGAGGTAAAGTTCCGTTTCAGGATGGGCTGTGGGCCATTTGAATTTTATTGGTAGGTGTCTGGATGTTTGATACCGCTATCTGCTTACTTAAAATAAATCTGTATAGAGTAATTATTGAAAATGAGCCTATCAACAGTGGCCGCGGGTTCTAAGGAATGAAACCTCTTCATGCGCTCGAACACTGGGATCGTGGGTTCGAATTCCACTCGAGGCATGGATATCTGTGTGTGTTTATTCTGTTTTTGTGTTGTCCTGCATGTAGGTAGCGGCCTTGAAACTGGCTGATCCCCCGTCTAAGGAGTCTTACCCACTGTGTATAGATTAAGAAAGTGAGAAAGTAACCAAGGTTCAGTAGGACGGTAGAGCGATATACAG